ATTGTTCTGACGGTTTTGAACGCTCTGCATTGTCCCACCTATAACTATAATATAAACTCATAACTATTATTTTGAGTTGACAAAGTACATAATATAGGTTAGGTACCCTACCTATAGATTAAACATCGTCATTCGACAGGTTGTCAGCTCACTGTTAATTGTTTTCTTTCTCCGATCCATGTGTAAAATGGACAATTCGCGTTCAGCAGAACCAACTTTGTGTTGTTAGCTTTGGAATGAATGAGACCTATCATCAAACTTAAAGAACATCGTCTAATTATCTGTGTTTGTGAGTTCGCTTTTTGCGATATTTCAATTTTATGCAAGTTACGGGTATGAAACTATGAAATTAAAATAGTATTGTAATTTTATATTTTTAAATTATTTAAAAATGCTCATAATATTATTATTTCGCTTTGAAATTGAAATATTGTAAAAATTCCAAAATACACGCTCATACAATGTTCTAATAGGTTAATTCACTCTAATACTTAAGCTAACAACACAAGGTTAGTTATGTTCTGCTGAACGAAAATTTGATATGTTGCGCGTGGGTCAGAGAGAGAAAACAATTAGTGCGCAGACGACTTAATTACTTTTACCTTCGAAAATATTATGTACACGATAAAAATCAATATCAAACTTATTTCAACGGACAGAGGATAACTATATTGGAAAACACGTTAAGTAAAATTACATTTTTCTAAGAAACGTCTAGATAAATGAAATTAATATAATAGATAGCTAGCCTAATGTTATAGTTATAATATTGTATTTTAAACATAATAATAATAACAATAAGTCAAATGTAGAATTGACAACATATTATTATGTTGTTTTATGCATTTTTACTGTGGAATCGTATTTAATAATGAGCGGACTTTTCCGTTTTCGTAATCGTGTGAAATTCAAGTTATTTTTATAGAAAAATGAACACATTTACAAATTCAAATTTTTTAATCAGTACAGAGGATCTATTTTATTATATAAAGTATATTAAACATTTATTTAATATACCTATTACCTACCACTTAAATACTTAATATATACTTGGCCAAAAATACTTCCTTTAAAAATGCTAGTATTAACTACCATAATAGGTTAAATTTTCGATGGTTGAATGTTTTTTTTTTCGAAAGATGTATCTAAATTATTTTTAAACCATGTAAAGTGAATACGTTGTGCCGACATATTTTTCAAGTACAAATACATCGTTAACTGCAAAACGGATTTATTATAGCTTATATATATATATATATACAAGGAAGTTGGAACTTGTTTTGTTTGTGCAATTTGAACGGTGCAGCTAGGTACCTACTTCTTTTAATTTATTGCCAACAATCTTTATTTTAAAGATTCATTTAAACACCATTAGGTTGCAATTTTTCATAACTTTATTAGAACTCTGTAGTTAAAGTGTCAGTTTTGATTTTTAAGTTCTCAGGCTGCTGCCTGATTTGAAATTTGAATGATTCCTATGAATAAAATTAAATAATATAAAAACATTTTATACTCAGTATCAACACTACAAAAGTTTGCCTGGAAATCAAAGTGTCACACTGTCATTAATTATTTATTTATTAGCCACGAATAGTTTTTTATCCCGATTTGCTAATATATATCAACCTAATCTAGACTCAAACGTAGTTATACCTACCCAAACTTTAAGGTATACAAGTGTTTTGTTTACCCACATTGAACACTCTAAAAACGTATACGTGAAAAATAATCATGCTTTTCGGTTAAACCTATTTTAAACTGTTAAGTGTGCATGGTTACTATGGTCGTTGCTTACGGTTCAAACAGAAGAGTGCAGTCTGCAGGTCCAAGTCCAAGTTTATTAGACCATCCACACAAAACACAACGCTTTCACTAGGATTAAATAAAATAGGGATTACGTACAAAAAGAAAAAACTTGGCGAAACATAACAAATATTGCATTAAAAATATGCACAAGACCTTGGAAATACATTTTATATTTGAATACGGCTGTAAACATAAAGGTATAACGTGTGTATATCGTGTGAACTGTGATTTAATAATAAACATTATATGCTTGGTGTTCTATACACGGTTTTGCCTACAAGCAGGTAGTATATAATATGTAATACATGTATAGATATCTATGTCATAATACAATCTAAAAATATATGCATATTACTTAGCACGAATACTTTTAATTTAAAATTTCATGATTGTTAAATTGTTCTTTTGATAAATTGGAAAATTATATGATAAAGATTTCAAAATAAAAATTAAGACCACCTGTATGGCTGTAGGTACCTATATAATACAATAATATTTTTACGTCCACGTTATGATCATATTAGTGGTTAATTAAGTACCTACTCATCCATAACGACTTTTTAAAAATATTTTAAGAACTGCACATGATCATGAAAAGAATTTTAATTAAAACATTGATTAATAATAGTTTATATTAATATACAAATAGTTTAATAGGTAACAAGAATTTCATAAATTATAATATGTGTAACCGTCATTAGCACAACTAGTCTTCAAAAAAAGGTGGGGCTTAACTGCTTAAGGCGAGATCAAAGAAATGATAGCCAAAACGAGATACTTATATAAGTATGTAATTTAAATACCTCTAATGAGTCTAATACCTATAAGTCAAAAGTCAAATAACTAAACTTTATTAAATTTAAATAGGTATATATTATAGACTAGGTATTTAAATTAAATACAGTGTTTTCGGCTGATTGGATGCTTGTGTAAATATTATTTGTAAATAGTTCTTGTGGTCGGATGCGTGAATTAGAACAATACAAAATAGTTCTGGTTTAGTGGTCTGTACGTCATTTTAAAATAAAATAAGCAATATTCCTAGATGAAAATAATACAGTAGTCAATAGCTTTGGTGATAGACAGACACCATTAATTACTATCAGTAATGTACTTACCTACCTAATATTTGGAGTTTAGACACATGAGGTATGTAGGTAGTTGTTGGTTCTCCGTGTCAATAATATTATTGTACGAAGCACATTTAATATTATAAGGTATAGGTAGGTACTCGTAATCGGTATATATACCATAAGTTATAACATGCATTCGTCTACGAAAATAAATACAAAATTTAGTTTGATCTTTAAATGATTTATTAAGGGAAGGAATAATATTAATAAATTATAATAATACAATATCCTCGATTAATATACTATAGTTCATGAATATAATTTGTACAAATAAGTTGTAAAACGAACTATTTATTATTCACCAACATATTCTGCGTCTCCGAGGCTGTTGTTTATGTCGATATCATGTCATTTGTCCACAATATATACCTACTATTATCATAGATATGACGTGTTACGTTTTTTGCGGGATATGTTGACCCACGCAAAAATATCGTCTAGAAAGCTATATGGCACGTGAGAAAAATAGTAAGCCACCATTAAAATAATATCCTCTAAAAGTGACTGAATAGTGCCTTACAAAATCATAAAACCTTAAATTGCGACTGTTTAACTTTGTTCCCACAATTATTATGCTAGGTAGGTAGGTACTTGCAAACGACCCGAAGAACGTTTTGGATGATAATTTGACATCATTGACTTTAATCGTTCGAAATGACGTCATCACATATTATCTCTCTAACGGTGGTTTGATAACAATAATAATAATAATAATAAAAAGAGGAAGTTCAAAACTAACCATATTTTGCGTGCACAATTTAAAATCATTTATCTTATGTAGTGCACAATGATATAATATTACTAATATATTATGTTGTTGAATCGTTTTCTATTTACGATTACAAATTGCAGAAATGTTACCTATATAGGTATATATTTTTATATTCATTTTAATTTTACGATACACCAATGTTTGGTTGCTGCAACTTTTTATGATATTTGTCTATGCAAACGACACGATTCGTCATGAGGACACTTATAAAGTGCGCTATAGGTGTAGGTGAAATCTATGATACTTAGGTACTTATTTTTTTTAACAGACGTCACGGTGTGATATATTATTTGTTTTAGGTACCTATACACGCATAAATACGCATATGCACATTAATTCGATTTCTATAACAAGTAAATCGTTACGATAATGTGCGACTTGAACGTTTTACAGGACCGGGTCCGTAAATATTATACTATATAACTGTTTTGTTATACAACTCTAAGGAAATTACCTGCAGACGTACATGGTATATTAGTGTGAAGATACAACATTTGTATCATTAAATATTTTATTTAATAATTTTCTCGTTTTGCAGACTTGCAGTAAAAAAAAAAATAAAAATATATTTCACCATTAAAATCATCATAACCGGCTTGTCGCCACCATCATAATATTATTATGATCTACGAGTGCTTCTGGCCATCCACATATAACTTGTACATAATTTTAACTAAAATTAATTTCTCGTCCCGACACAATATTATAATGTAATTATATCATCATATATTTTAACAGTATCTACATTCTACGACACAGTACGAACTAACGTGTGACAATAATAAATTCTACACCGACAAATAAAACTGACAATTCTATCGTACCTAGAGTATATTATGCCAGTCCTAATGTATAATACATATGCGAATCGCCTTTCATTATTACTTTATTTTTTCGTTAAATACGTTTGTCTCCTTTCTCCGCGTGCATACACTATATGTACGTCTGATGCAACAAAAATAATATTTTATCGCCAACGTTTAAATGACACATAAGAATTCCACATAGTTATTATGAAGTAATTAAGGAGCGTGCAGACATTTTATCCTTCGTTGAATCTTACGTTTATTCTCTTGCTGAAGTCTTAGTTTCATGTGATTTCATCACGCTTTTGGGAAGGTTTTATTAGGGACTCTATTATTATATTATTATTTTATATTGTACATTTTTGAATAATAGATCAACGAATGAAATACTGATTTGAAAATAATTTTCTCAGCAGAACAGCTGTGTATGTAGTACTATATATACGTATAATAAAACGGTTTTTTTATTTTGTGTTTGTACAGATTGGAATACATTTTATTATCGCAATATTCATTTTGTTCGAGTCGTGGACCACTGCTATTGACATTCCGTATGAAGATCTTAGCAACCCATATAAGTAAGTAACAATTTTTTTAAGAATAGTGAATTTAATTAATACCTAATTAACGTGTAATTTAGATATTATGAATGACGAACAGTAATATTATTATTTATGTTTTTTTAATCGTAATTTATTTAGTGTTAAGTTTTCAACTCTTGAACATAATATTTACGTAATATAGTCAAAACACAATATGAAACAATTAATATATATCAGTGTTTGCTGTTTTAGTATGTTTTTTGATAAAAGTATTTATTTATAACTGTTAGTTATTTTAATCAAATCATATAGTGTTAAGTAAGTCATATCTATTTTAAAAAAATTATGTAAGCAGAGCTCAAAGACAAATGCAATTTTTGTCAATGAAATTTGTATACAAATATCAATTTTATTGTTGGAACTCTAGAACAATGGTAATAATATTTATTTGCACACCAAATCTAATTTATCGTAACTTCGGGTAGAGTATAATAACATTGTTTTTTTTTTTTTTTTTTTTTTTAATAAGATTTATGTGTTTGTTATTAATGTAATAAACACATAAATCTTATTAAAAAAAAAAAAATGTTTTATTTTATTGTTACTTAATTTTGAATGTAATACTACTTATTATATAACCTAGTGGCTAATGGAAAAATAGTTAATACTAAATATTTATAAGTGTTATACCTATGGAAGGATTTACTAGAACGTAATATCTTATCCTTATGCTTATATAGTGTACACCTCGGTAACCTACCTTTGGGAAGTTTATAATTGTACCTATATAATAGCGTTCTGAATTCTTCAATTATTTTTTCAATAACAGTTTGTTGTAATCTCTAAAATTATAACTTATGAGTTATGAGTAATGACTTAAATATTATTTGGTTGTCAGTATTTTTTGTATTTAAAATTGCCATTTATAATGGGATATATTTCGTTTTTTCGTGCACACAACTTAAAGCGCAACTCCTTCTAATGAATACTTAGATTGAAATATGCATCGAATATTTTATTAAGAAATGTCGACATCATAGCTATCGTCTCTGAAAAAGATTAGCTACTTTCGACTTAACAATTTAGTTTCAATAATCACGGGCAATGTTTTTTTTTTTTTATAATAAATTACATTAATCAATATTGGTTTTTTTGCATACCTAAGTAGGTACATATTTTGAAAATAAATGAAAAATGGAAATTACCCGATATAGTATTGTATAATATAAAGTATTTGAGCTATGTGGTATTATAAAAGAAAAGAACGTATTTTATTTGTTTGCATCGAATAATAACAAATTATTTTTGGGTGTCTCATGATAATAACTTAGTATTAGTATATTAAAATTAACTATATTATATAAATATTTTTTTCTATATTATTTCATTATGTTTTCGTTTCGTCGAGTGTTACTGCTGGGTAGCTACTCCTCTCACGTTTCTCAGTCAACTTGTACATTTTCCGCTCATATGCTTATTGTAACTACTATTACAGATTGGATATATTCTTAATAAATGTTAAAAAAAAAAAATGTTTTCGTTTGGTAAAGCTTTAATTTTAATTGTAATTTAAGTACAGCATTTGTATATGTAATAATTTAATATATTTTAAAATGTCATAGGTACATGTTACTAATAAATTAGATATTAATAATAAATTATCCATTGTACACCATTACAGCAATGAGCGTTTTAGACTTAAATTAAGTAGGTACTTTACTGTGTTAGTAATAATATCAATTAATATTGTAAAATTTTACTTATTTGAACATTTTTTAATTATTTTATCGAATACCTACTGTTATATAATATATTATTATAATATTATACTCTTATGTATGTTAATGCAGTATGACCCATGACTAATGAACCCATTGCAACTTGCATGTATATCATTTTTTGAAAAATCGTCAGCTATAATATTATTTATTTTAATTTTTAATACTATTACCTATACTAATTGTTTACTGCAAATTGTGTGTTTGATAAAAAACAAATAATTACTTATGAAATTACAATGTACATAATAATATTATTAGGTATATGTATACAATGTATAAGTTTAGTTTTCAAGTGAGGTTTGGTGCACGCAATACTTACTAATATTGTTAATAAAAATAAGAATTAAAATTACGGAATTTGTTTTTTTGACATTAATTGATATTATAAAATATAGGTAATAAAAATTATCTAGAATAGAAATGTACAATACTTTAGTAATGAAAAAATATCATTCAAATATTAACTCATCTCATCAGCTAAAATATATGGAATGAGGTTAATAAAAGTTGAATAAAGTTTCTACACAGCCCACGTTTATTGAAAATACCCGTGCAGTTTTAATTTATAATATTGTGTACATACAGGCAAATACTATATAGTCCATTACCTTATTCATATTTCATGTTGTGTGTAGGTTTTTACACATTCTAATAGGTGCAATAACCGTATTACTCGCCGATTTTATATATTATAGTAACATGTTTACATAATAATATTATAATAAGATAATCGATTAAAAAATCGGATTTAAATCCTAAGTGGATGAAACACCGCAAAGATCCATTGTTTTGTCTGCCGATTGTTATCCCACGTGCGAGTCGTGGCTAAAAATCACGTTTTGTGTTTCAAAAATTGTACGAGGTCAACATTTGGGAGACAACCTGTAACATAGTTCAAGCGTAGGTACCTACGTGCTTCGTTTATTTATCATTGTTTTTGCATCTTTTAACTATGTACACACTACTCAGAATATTTTGGATACTGTATTATATACAGTTCGTAATAGTTTATTTTATGACGTATTGCATTGACTCTGTATGTGTCTTAAAAAAAAAAAGAAATTAATTCGTGTGGCATGAAAAAACCACTTAATTTGTGTTTAATATTATATTAACGTTGATGTTTATTCACAATTCGCATATCTATTAATTTTGTAACTATTTAGTTATCCAGAATAAACCAAAATACTTCAAGCAACAGTGAAACTTGACTGAGAAGGACTCCCTATACCCAATACAAAAATCTCGATTTTCACACGCGTAATACACATTTTTTCACATAACAAACACTGCAATTTGGACAGTGCCTATTACATATAAGTTACTGATCTTAAAAAATTACAACTGAAATTTAGCTCATCCAATACGTGTTATAAATAAAACCCCTTCGCAACGAATCGACTTTATAAAATATTATTATTGTTGTCCAGAGTCCAAACAGTAACGGTTTTATTTACGGGTCGCGTCTGTCTCTAGAAGTCACGTGAGCAATAAATTAATTCCGAAGTTGGGGCATTAATAATTATAATAAATTTAATACTTGAATTAAATCTTATGATGGTATTGCTTTCAGGTTCTGCCCACCACGGTCCAGTTGTGCGGGAGTCGACCAGAAATCGGCAGCCTCTGAGGTCTTAGACAATTACGACGGCATTGGCGGACTGAAGCGAAACTGCCTGTGTGACGACCGGTGCGGCGATTACGGAGATTGTTGCACCGACTCGACGCACTTTGACCCAGTGGAACAGCAGAGGTCCGCTGCTCGTTACGGTTGCGTGCTCACCGAAGACAGCGGTGGTGGCACGTACGTCGTGAACAGGTGTCCGGCCACGTGGACGAACACGCGGGTGCGGGACGCTTGCCATGCGGCCGCCGTAGATACGGACAGCATGCTCGGTAATCCCGTGACTAGCCGGACGACGGGACAAGCGTACCAGAACCGGTTCTGCGCCGTGTGCAACGGTGATGCGGCCGACCCGATCCTTTGGGACACGCGGATCGTTTGCAATGCCCTTCTCGGCGTGACCCCGGGCGCCGAACAAGCGGTGCTCGACACGCTCAGGTACGACGCGACCGCTGGCAAGTGGGAGGTCAAGTACATCGGTGACACGTACAATTGCGACCAGATTTTAGTGCCACCGGCCACGACCCGTATCCGAAGGTGTCTACCAAATGCCGTGGTCACGTGTCATCCCCGGTGGCCGAACGACGAGATCCGGTCAAACTGCGAGGCGTACACGACAGTGATGTACTACGACAGTCTGTCGTACAAGAACATACACTGCGCCATATGCAACCACGTGCTAGTGCAGAACGTTACGTGTCAGACGAGTAGTGTTCACGTGAGGTTTCCCAACCAATTTGCTGTGCGCAGCTTCACCGCGTTATTCGTCGCGCAGCCCGGCCACCGCGAGTGCCGCGGCCCAGACATGTTCTACGACCCGTTCAACAAGACATGCCAGTCCCTGCGGACGTCGGTGGCCGACGACGGCGTGCTGCTCAACTGTTCCGTTGTGGCCATGTACTCGGTCCCGCCTGAAGGCTGGCGACCGCCCAACGCCGATGCCGAGTACGTGACGTTAGAAAACGGCACGATGGCGGTGTGCGCGGACGCCAATCATCCGGCCACCGCCGAGACGCTCAGGTATGTGGTTCTCACTTACGTGGGCCTGGGCGTGTCCGCGGTGTTGCTAATCGTGCACCTGGCCGTGTTCGCCGTGCTTCCCGAGATGAAGAACCTGTCCGGCAAGAACCTGGCGTCGTTTTGTGTGTCGCTCTTGTGCTCGTACGCGGCGTTCCTTGTCGGCAACTGGCTGACCGGTCCCGCGTGCTACGCCGGCGCCGCATTCACCTATTACGCTTTCCTCACGTCGTTTGCGTGGATGTTGGTGATGAGTTTCGACTGCTGGCGCTCGCTGCGCCTGGCCACCGTCGAGTTGCGCGTCACCAGTGGCCGGCAGACGAAAAAGTTCCTCGTCTACTCGGCCGTCTGCTGGCTGGTGCCGGCCATGATGACGTTCGTGGCGGTGGCCGCGGACGCCGTGCCCGCCGTGCCCAAAGACGTCCGTCCCCGGTTTGGCGAAGACCAGTGCTGGTTCGGCAGCAAGACCGCGCTGTTGCTGTTCTTCGCCGGCCCACTGACCACCATCATGGCCGTGAACGTCGTGCTGTTCGGCTGGACCGCGTACATGATCCACTCGAGCCGGGCCACCGTCCGTCACATCAACACGCGCCACGTGCGCCGCGACTTCCGCATGTACTGCCGTCTCGGCGTACTCATGGGCCTGACGTGGTCCACCGGCATAGTGGCCAGCTACACGGACGCCAAGTACATGTGGATGGTGTTCGTTGTCCTCAACACGTTCCAGGGCCTGTTCGTGTTCATTGCGTTCACGTGCCGCCGCCGCATACTGGACTCGCTCGTCCGCGGCGTCGGTGGCGCCAACCTCGGCCTCAGCCATCTGTCTCACGAAAAGTCCAAGGACGGCGACAAGCACTCCCGCGGCCCTCCCCCGTCGTCGTTCTCCTGGTCGTCCAGCGACAACGGCACGCCAATGAGTTCGGAGAAAACGACGGACACCCTATACTGATCCGGCTCTAATTGTGTCGCGCGTTCGATTTTATTGCTCCGAACACGAATCAAAACACAACTCGAAGACTGAACGATGATTCGCTGTCGGCCCGATGATGATGATGATGAATACAAAAATATGTTATGTACAGTGTGGTTGATGGACACGCTAACCCTCCCAAGATCTGTTTTATTGATTTTTACTTTTCTTACCTACCTATATGTCATTTATAAATTTACTTGAGCACTTGCTCACGTAACGACTCTTTATGTGATACGCGTATATCGTCTTTTGTACTCGCGTATTACATTGTATAATTTTGCGATTTTGATAGGTTTACGAATCATGCAATTTATAAATAATGAATGTGCACTTTTAAACAAAACACTATGCTACTTAAATTAAATTGTAGGTATACGCATTATATTGACATTTTGTATGTTAATTATATTGATATTTTGTATGTAAATTATATTCCTAACGTATATTACAATTAATTCGATCACGTATAGTTTGTATAGTTTATTATTTATTATTATTTTGATATAATTAAAATGTTATTGACATAGTATGATGACTGCTGTTTTATTCGTTTGGACAATTTGCAATCGTGCATTAATTCTTCTTCTTATATTGTTTTACTATATACTCTCCACACGAGTTTGTTTAGTATTATTATTATTTAAATTATAGGTCGAATGCAGACGATTGTGATATTATCACGATGGACCGCAATGGCGTCAATCTTACGAGGTTTTCTCCACCGATTAGTGCATTGTTTATTGTTGTGCATACCTATAAAGTTATTTGGAGGTATGTATATTACTATGAACGTATTAAATGTACTACAATTTGTCTTACGGTAAGAAACCAAACATATAGTTTCTAATTTATATGATTAATAATAATTAATCGATATTTTACAAAATATAATATATAATATTATAAATTATAAAGATTCATAAAAGTCAGACTAATTTATAGTAAAATTGAGTCAATAAAAGCCCCGACTATTGCACATTAAACCATTGGTATAACACTGTACGAACAAGCCGCGGTGAGGGATAACAAATCAAACAAGCAATAAAAAGTAGTTACTGCACTGGTATTGGATAAAACAAAATATATTTTCATAAGGCAATAATAGTTGTTATTATAATACCATAATTTTATAATGGAAAAACATCGGCTGCAGTGTATTATTACAGATTATCACAATAGCATTACAAACATGTAATATATTATATTCTCTCATGTTTCACACCAACGTCGGTGCGTATACCTGACAAAATAATATTTAAATGTTTGTGTGCGGTACGTGTTTTTTTTTTTTTTCTAAACACAGATGAGTTAGGAGGTGAAAGTTAGTGTGTTTAGGACGCCGTGTACTAAAATGAATTCTTATGTAATAATAATAATTATACATACTAACGATGAAGACGGTGAGTGGCGTATGTGTGTGGTGCGTTGCGCTTGCGCATCATGTGAGGAAACGTACCGTGGCGTCTGGCGTGCGTGGATACACGAAGGATTAGATTATATTATATTTTGGTGCGTACCTATATGAATTTTTTTCCTTTTTTAATTTACCGGTTCGAGTCTGAAATCAGCAGAGGAACGGGTAAGATCGGATAACGTCGTGGTAAACATATTATTATTATTATTGTTGTTGTTATTATGCAGTGTTGGGTCGTGGTAAGTAGTGCAAAGGAACGTCCGGTGGGGCCGAGTGAAAACAAATATCGCACAGTTTTCGCAGCGTAGGTACGAAAAACGAGCGTGAGTTGGGAATTCAAATATTGTATCCGTCTGCCATGGAGTTCTACGTACACGGAATTTGAACACCCACAAACTATTAAATATTTATTCACGTCGCAAGTGATTATACTATGTGCAAGCCAATTCAGTTGAAATACATTTATGTTAAATACAAATTGCAAAAAAATTAACTACATACTGTTATGTTATTTTCAAATTGTCCCAACCACTTTATCATTCGAAAAAAGAGTTAACTCAAGTTTGTAAACAAATACAACATATAAACATTGTTTACTGTTTACTATTACTCACTAATTGAGTGGGCCAAATGTATGCATGTATAGAAACCCACTTATTCTTGAACAAACGTACACGAAAATATCGATTATATTATAATATCAACACAATCGAATATTCAACTATTAAAAACTAATAATTATTAATGCTATAATATTGCACTGTAATATAAAGTAAAAGTTATTGAGATAAAAATTGATTACCTACAATAAACTAAATTAACTTACACCCTATTTCTATACGTACTAATACTAGTCATGCAATGATGATTAGTAGTACCTACCTACTTATAGTTGTAAATATTTAAATTTTATTGTTAGCATTAGACTCGAGTGGAGAGATTGGGTTAGTGTCGAGTGATGAGAATATTATATGTAGTAAACCTGCAGTGTATAGTGGAAAGAAAGAGCATGTTTGTATCGAAAGGTCTTCCGAATTACGCTTCAACTGAAATATAATAATACCAACTAAAATAACAATTTTTTGTATGCACAGGAACGAAACAAAATTGATGTGCGACAACAATTTCCAGTTCAAAGGCGAATGGCTGTTATACTGAGCAGCACTGCAGACTGTAAGGCGACTGTGGTCGGGACGATCTCGAGCAGACCGTGGCCATCACATGGCCATCCATATAAAAACGAACAGTATGACGGGCCGTGACATAAACGCAACGAATGAGGATTGGTTGGTCGCGCATCTCGTGCCTAGCCGTGTGCTTGTTGGTGCCTATAGTTATGTCCATATGTTATAGCCTAATGACACTCACTTTGGTTTCCACGTGAATCGTAATGCACGCGTCCACAAATAATCTTCGGTTGGCCAGTGGACAGCATCCCGGTAGGATCTCATCTCCTATTCTGTGCTCGTGTCCGTCGCTGTCGCTCTGACCGCACTGTCGCTACCATGGCACTGGCACTCTTCTCCCTGAACTCAGGCCCAACTTATACTGCGACTGATGGATCTACGAGCAGTCTGCACTGGTCTCGTTGTTCTTTGTCCCAGCCGGGATCGCGTTCGTCTTCAACTTTTTGTCGTTCTTCGAATGTCCGGCTGATCGGCAGGACTAGAAAACGGTTCAGACTGCTATCGGAATCAACAAGCTGGTCATCGTTAAACGGATGCTCGTGAACCTCAAGATTAACTTACACCTGCCTGGAGATAACAGGCCTGACGTAGGTCTTTGGTCCGATGAGGGCTATCACCGACAGTGATGTCACTTGAAAGCTCTTATAATTAATATGCCTTAAGGCCCGCTGCGTGTCGTATTCATTTTCATCGCTTAACGCGTTTGACTTCAATCGGAATACCTTTCACGAGAGTCCGACGAGACGATATCTCTGGTCCACAGACAAATTATTAAATTTGTGTTTTGTGTCAGATACTCTGTTCACCACCCATTCCTTGCCATTCGACTGGCTTAATTTTTCACCATTGTGCCGTTTTCCTATATTATTATATCAACGCCACTGTTCGGTGCCAAACAAGAACAATTTTAAATCATAAAACAACTTCGTATTTCATTGATAGAAAATAAAACGGTTAATCAAAGTCTACAGATAAAATACTCTTATTTCTAACAACAAAAACATTTTATCTCGGACTATTTCCCAAAATTACCATTTAAGAAGTATGAACTTTATACACCACTTCACACATTATAAGTATATAGGTACTAACTTATTAATTTTATAATGCATAAGAATATTTTAATTTTGATATATTTCTGTTAATTAAATATATTGTTTACAATATTGGTACAGAACTACATTTTTTGAACTAATAGGTATCTCAATATTTTGGAAAATGAATATAAATGTATCATTAAAAATTAAAGTTATTGAACTATTGTTATTTTATTTTACCTTTATTATTATAATATATAATGAAGATTTATTTTTAGAGGATTATTTACTATATTTTTTGTTTTAATCCAATGTATCTGAAATATTTGGCAAATTAATAAGAATGTACCCATATTTAATCGATTATCATCAGTATTGAATTTAGTAATTTAGTACATATTAATAATATTTTATTTTAAATTTCCATTTTGTTTCTAATAATATATCTGAAAAAGCTTTGGATAAATATAAATAATTATACTATAATTAATTGAACAATATCATGTGATTTTTTTTTCTACAATGGTCTTTTACTTATATTATAATATCATACTTTTTAATCAGCATTGAACATTTCAGCTGGGCTCAACCTGTATCATATAATTAATACAAGATAATGAAAAATGTATTAATTTTTTTTTAACTTTCAATTGGATATCAAGTTTTAAATTATCATTTAAAAAATATTAACTTGCCACACAATAAACCGAAGGATAACAAACTAACAACTAACAATCTAAACCATGTTAGGCATGACTATTACTCACTCATAGTATATGTTAATGTACCATAACTTATGATAATTCTCTATGTAAAATAATGCAAAAAATTAATTTTTATTTATTAAATACCTTGTCAATGGATATTGTAAAATTTTTTTTTCTTAGATTGATACAAAATGTACTATTTTTGGAAATGGTATGTTTTGAAAAACAAACAAATAGAAATAGTACGAACCCACCCATTGGATTCAAATTACGCACCCGGTAGATATCACTGAATTTCGAAATTTAATCATAAATTAATTATCATTTATCAGCATCTTATTGTTATTTAATATGAAACAGCATGTTATCCAATCATTCATTATTGAAACTTTTTGTCATTTATATTACAAAATTGATATTATTTTAAATCTATATTAATAAATATAGTAGTTTATTCGACATAAAAAAATTAGAAATAACATGTTTTTTAAAAAGAACAATGATTTGTGCATAGACTGCAGGCACATAAGTATGTATAGGTACAAGGTACAGGAACTAATACATTTTGACGTGCACACATTAAAAACATAAAAGGACTAAAATATTTACCACGTTTTCAGTTTCGAGACAAATTCAAATTTAGTAAGCCTTATTTATAATGCCTTAAAAAATAAGAATGGAAAAAAAAGACAAAAATAGATTACTTCTCTTTTTTACAATTAGAATATCCATCTCGATTTACTCAATTTCAGGAATAACACATACTGGATTGTTACCCTATTTTTGTCAACCATAAATATTGCATAAATGTTTGATTTAATCATGTAATACCTAATATTTAAATTTAAATTAACCTTGCATATTATTTATACCAAAAACAAAATTCTTGGAGATATTTTTACCCACCAGTAATTCAACAACATAAATTAATAATATCATATTATAATCTAGTTAACCCGATAGTAAACCTCGATCCATTACTTAAACTATATATTTAATATGTGTCACATCTGCAGTGTTTACTAAGTATAGTATAAAATTTAACCAAAAATCGTCTACACGACCAATTAACTAATAGGTAGGTACTAAAATACTTATCAAGTTTTGAGTAAATATTATTAAAGTAATAAAATAATGACCCAACGCCCGTTTTTTATAATAACAGGAGAATATAACAATATTTATCACGACCAAACGACCGCATTACCAAAATTGTTTTTTACTTGTTATACTATATTATTAAATTTCGAGTGTCCATATTATAATAGTAATAGTTTGTACTTTGTACATCGTGTACATAGTTTTAACAAATATTCACTGTTTTCGAATTTTGGCCTTTCCAAATTACTTCGTAGGTAAATATAGGTATCTATAATGTACTATCATAATAATATTATAATATATTAAAATAAAATCATACAGACATCACGTCATAATGTGCATACCTAAACGTATAATAAACTATTATAATATTAATTAGGTATATTGTATCTTGATCCATTTATATTATATATATACCTGTAGGTACATATATTTTGTTACACCGATACATGTCACAATAATTTTATTATTGATAGTTGGATATAATTTAATATACTTAATAGTTAATAGTATCATATATTTTATTTACAGATCTCGGAAAGTTCATAGACTCTTTGTTTTTTTTACTTTAAGGCCAATGAACTAGTCCTCACTTGAATGATTGTATCAAATACCTATAGGTATCATATTTAGATTTATATTAGTTATAGGTATACTATAATATAATGCATACTACATACCAGGTCTAGTAATCACTAATATTAATAATGTTAATAAAAATAGATACCAAATTAATATTAAAATTTGATCTGAATTCATTATTAATATTAACATAAATAATTATACCTAATTTTAATTTTTTACTTTTAAATTCTTAGCGTAGAGATATGAATTTTACAATGATGTTTTTTTTTGTTATTTATATTACAATTTACTATATATCATAGTATAATTTTAAAAAAATATGATTTATTGGTTATTGTTGTGCTTATATATTTATAGACATTAAAAATAATTTTTTTTAGAATAGTTTTTTGACAATTGATTTGTGAATAATAAAATGTTTGTACCAGGCGCGGTATTGAGGGGACATAGGGGCCATGCCCCCTTAGACATCATAAACTACCTAGGAAAAAATAATAATTTCTTCTTGGTACTGTAAATTACATATTATACGTTTTTATTATAAAAATCTCAAAATACTGAAGATACGTCAATTTTGTATGTAGATATTTGAAGATAAAAATTACAAAATTAGACATTTAAACGAAAAATAACATGTTTTTCTTAAACGAATTTTCGCTATTTTGTTGTAAATAAAAAAAACTTAAATCTGATTGCAATTTTATATAGACAACGATATTTGGAAATATGTAGGTACATTGTACCTACCTATGCTAATTTTAAATTATATAGGTAGTATATTCTATGCCACGAACGTACCTACCCATTTATGCATCGTTTTATCATACAAATCATCGTTATTGACTTATAATAACTTATAAGTTAATTACAATAAATATATATCATACAGTGGCGGTTAAATTATTTTGTCAAGGGGGAATATGGTTGATGTTTTAACATGAGCTATTTGATTATTAATAATATAATTTGTGGTTATCAGATCTTAAACATTGAAAAAAAGTTCATGGGGGATCTAAACTCGAAATAGGTTGATTCAAACAAAATATGAAGTTGCCTAATTAATTTTCTTTTATACATTTTGAACTTTCAACGAACGGACAAATTACTTCGGTTAGAGTTTGAAGTCATTCATTACAAGGCCACAAGGGTTGCATAATACAGATATTTATATAATATATTATATTATAATTTATAGGTACAGAAATTATACAGCAGCCGTGTAATCAAAATGATGATAGAATTCTGGAAATTCACTGGAAAATGTTAAACCAATTTTTTTTTTCCTAAACAAAATATGGATAACGCAATTATTGCTGTCTTCTGCCATGATATTATAGCAAATCGTAGCCCGTCACGCGAACCTATACAACTTATGGTCTGTTGTGGCATATTATCGGCAACTAGGTGGGGCGAGATTAACACGCTTTGGCGATGTGTTTCGGTATCACCGCCACCCAAAGATAAGTGTATTATTATAATAAATTTTCGGTATAGTCTCATCGTGTTTGCGACCGGCGACGGTTGTTCACTCACTAAAATATTATCCGCGTGAAGTGTGTGTGAGTGTGACTGTGCGCTGTTTCGTTGAAGTATTATAAATATTTAGCGATTTTCGATGTCTGTGCGTTCCTTTTCGTTCGTCCTACACGTCGTTCTAGACTTTATTGCACTTTATTGAGCATGGATGTGAAATAGTCGAACTACTCGACCGACAATATGAAAGCTGACGTGAGTAGAACACTGTACTGTAGTAAATATTAAAATGTATTACAATATAAATTATATAGATAGTCATTACAATTTATAGGTAGGTAGTAGATACTATACTTACTAGAGTTCTAACTTGGCCAATTTATACTTATGATCGGGACGATTGGGTGCGAAAACTGTATTCGTATATTTCAGCATAGGTAACACTTATCATACATAATACGATGGTTTGCACACAATACCTTTAATCTATAAGTTATTATCTGTTTTTGTTTGATATTAGGATACACCGTTTTACTTAATAAGGAAGTACCTATTATTTAGAACGATTTTAAACTAATCAACTTTTTTTTTACCCCCGTCGTTTCATTATTTTATTAAAGTATAAACTATAACTAATATGCATATTTTAAAATTTCTGTATACAACCTACTCTAATAATTATTTCAGTATAAAATCGTTGGACAAGTTAAGAACTTAATTGCTCTGCAACTTACTCTGTTCACAACATATTTAAACTTTTTTATTGTATATTTAAAAATATTTACTTATATTTAAGACAAAGATTATGGATATTATAATGTAACAATTCATAATAGTAAATACCCCAACAGTTATTTTTTTTTATAGTTAAATCTGCAACATTATAGCTTTTATTATTTTAATGAGATTTTAATATATAAATATTTAAAATACATTTTTAGAGAGATCATGGAAATAAATCAAAAAGTTACAGTCATAGTAATAATATAATATTTTATACTTTTTGATTCTTAAATATATTGTTTAACTACAGTTTTCACAATTTTAAATAAACCTATTAACTATTATTCAAAAAAAATTTTAATAGACGAATTAAAAAAAAATATAACCCATTGTTTAATATAATTCATACAAAAAAAGTAATATTTTGTTCAAATGTCTAATGGACTGAAAAAGTTACATTCTTTAATGTTGTTTAAAAATTTTAGCAAAAAATTATGTCTTCCAAACAGTAACAACTATAATAAGTAGTATAAGTACTATAATAGTAGTTTTATAACATTGTTCAGACAAAATGCAATGAACAGATGTATCATGTTGTTATTGTCTACATGTTACAACCATCATGTGAAAATAAGATCGCTATTCCCTATAAATAAATTACAATTTAACGACTGAAATACGCAATCAATATGTTTTCAATGTTTACCTTAAGTTTTAAAATACATTTTTATAGTACGATCTAAGATTTTCACATAATGATAATAATATACTGTTTTTCAAGCTAAATTTACACTATACACCTTTTGTTTGTTTCATGTTTACCAAATAATGACAAATATAAAATTGTAACACCCGTAATATACGATATAGGTATTATATAACCAAGTAATAGGGACGTTCTTCATTCGATACAAATTACAATAAAATATGTTATATCACTATTATTTCTAAGATTTGTAGTTTGTACAATGGTTTTAGTCACAATTATTTGTAAATAACTAATATTTAAATCAGTTGAGCATTCATTTCGGGTTTATATCTATCTACATCGACTACATCGTTAAAATAAATTACTTATAATATATTCATTATTTTAAAATATAGTTAGGTAGATTTTATTAGTAGTCCAATATTGTTGGAGCATGTTTATTATATTGTGTAATATTATAAGGCAGTAAAAATAATTTTTTACATGATTTAGGTAAGTACCTACCTGCCCTATTATTATAATATTAAATTCATCAATCAAGAGAACGTGCGCCTATTAAGAATGAATATTCAACCCATTTTAACGACACAAAGAAGATCGCCGGTTGTTTTTAAATCAACAATCCTATAATGGCTAATATTTTTAAATGCAAAATACATAACTTGCGTTAAAATATAGATTACGATTGATAGCTGATTAGTTAAAACCTAAAACTATTTTCAGATAATACCGACACAACATATGAGTTTATCTTCAATAATTTACAATAAATTTATTAAGAATAATATTGTAGGTATGTACTTTATAATAAATATTATCTCTGAGTAAAATAAGATCAGATCAAACAAATACGATAGCCAAAACGAGATATTCATATATTATTCGATATAATATTTATATAATTAATAATTACCTATATAAATACTTCTAATCAGTGGCGCCATATGAGTGTTTTAATATTGGTGCCAACATTTAAGCGGGAATTTTTTTTTTATCGTTAGTCAACTTTTTTAAATACCTACGTCTGTATTTTATTTACTGAGGTTTATTTTATGAGGTTGTAAGATAGTAGGTACACTCAATATTTTAACTAATTAAAATTATTAATCAATAACTTTTTCACAGTTTACCTTTTGGTAGGTATGTATATAAATTTAAAATTATAAATATATTTTGTGTACCAACCTACACAATATATTATAATATATTTTATATAGTAGGTACTTTATATAAAATTAACTACAACAGACTACAAATTACAAAATTTCAACATGTGTTTACATCTGTCTTTAATCAAACGGACCCAATTGAAAAGTTTATATTTCATAGTATAGTAACATTATTGTTTGAAGATGAATGTGTTCTCCTGTTATCAATTATTTACTGGCCGTAGTTAATCAATATTCATTATTGTTGTCAATAATGATATTATAAACACTAAATAGGTATTACAATATAATATAATATAATCTATATAGGTATGTATACCTATAAATTATAATTGTATAACTATAGCCTATTAGGGACATAGGTACCAATACAAAAATAAAAAAATGTATCTGTTGAAATAGTTTTTGCCATGTACAATAATATACATTATCATTGTGTAGGTATAGGTAAATATTAGTGTACATACATAGTACATAATATATTATTATACCCATTATAGCTTACCTAATGTACACCTTGCACCCCCTCCCCTTTCAGCGAGTGATAATTAATTGCTCTAACATTTTTGAGATGCGTTTGTTTGAACCAAAATAAAGATTTTCATCATCGAGTTGCTAATAAAAGATTTATTTAGTAAATTTTGTCTTGGTATATTGAAATAGATAACTCCGAGATACGACTCCTTTTGGTCTTCGTTCATGTTAAAGGTTGGGTTCGGTACCTAATACTATAGGTAGAGTTGTTAAAATACGGTATTTTATTTTTGTATAGTATACATGTATTATACAGTTTTATATGGTATAAAATCATATAGTATCTTAAATTATAAACATTTAATATTTAAACACAGGTTAAGACTAACAACCAATTTCAAAATGTCTTAATAATTTCGAAAAAAATTGAAAAAACGACAATAATATACAAGATTTATTTTAGAGTAAATTAATATTTAAAGTCATGGTACCAGCATGGTACAATCCTGATATACTCAGTAACTAGCAATACGATTTAATTTAACAGAATGCAATTACAATTATTCACGGTAAATTATAATTTTAAATATAAAATATATTTTCTAATAATATTACCTTGGTAATATAATTATTAATTTTTGTTTAAACCACTTGTATAAAATAATTTTATTTTTATACCATGTGTATAATTCTTCTTATAATACAATTGTTTACAGATTATATATTATTATGATACCCACTCATAATATCTCTAGGTACCTACATTATGTGTTGCCAATTGCCAGACACGTTTATAATTTCACAGAATTATAGTTTACAAAGATGGATATGGCACGATATAAGAAAGATATTAAGTCAAAATTAAATATCCTCCAACAATTTGAGCGCCCTACAAATTCTTAAAACCTTAAATTGCAGTTGTTCCCACATTCAATTATTATAATTTATAAGATAGATATTATAGGTTGCGAGGAACAAATGACTGAATGAAGTACTTTTTGAGCGATAATAAAATTGTTCAACATTGGTTTTAAACACTTATATAATGCCGTTATCACAATATCGAGTGGTATTATTATTATCTTTAAATGTAGTTTGTTAAAAATAAAAAATAAATAATTTTGAGAACTAACTATATTTCCGGTATAGGTTGGTAATATCATTTATTGTGTGTAACGATAATAATAAAGGTATATTCGGCATTTAGGCACATGAAATCGAAACTTATTGGGGACCTATCGACTAAGATAAACGTTTAAGAATTAATACTACCTATACGGTTAGTAATCGATTTTTTTATTTTTATTCTTTATAAATTATAATTATTATATTTTGCTAATAATACATAATTGAAAGATAATTTTCAATGATCTTTACTGTAGAATAAATCATTACTCACCAAGACAACATATAAGCCACCTTAAGTGTACTTTTATCTAATAAATCTGTTTTTGTTTTGTGTTTGTACAGAATATTAGTATACATTTGACTATCGCCACATTTATTTTCTTTGTGTCGTGGACCGCTGCTATTGACATTCCAAATGGAGATCTAAACAAATCAAACAAGTAAATACAATTTTTCTGTACTTGTAGAAAATTTAATTTTTATTTAATACATATTTATAATTTACTGTATATAATTAGATGCTTAAGAAAATATTTTTATCGTCTAGAATTAATGAAATTAAGTTTAATTAACGTTTAAAATTATAATGTTTAGATTAGTAATAAAAACATGCGTGTGCACTGAGCAGTGTATAACTCAAAATTAATATACATATATTCCTGTTCATAGCTGTTTCATAAAGAATATTCATATTTTGAGGAGGGAAAACCAGTATAATTTTTTTCCCGGCTTACACATGTGTATTGTGTAATATAGTTAAAATCTCTCTCCATATTCACTCATTGCTAAGGTATCATTAGATACCTATTATAACAATTATCTATAAAAAATAATATTGTTTGTGTTTTGTCGGAAGCATTTATTCATAATTTGATGACTATGGATTATGGAAGTTATTACAAATTAAATACTAATAACTTCATTAAAAATCACAATATTAAAAAAAAAAGCATCTCAAAAAACACAGACAGTAATATTTTTATAGTTTTTATATTAGAATTTATACCACAAATTTTAATAATGTAATCACAACGAGTGAAATACGGAGAGTGGTTTACTATAATATTGTATAGTTTGATATACAGTGTGTGTTTCCTTTTAAAGGTAACACTAAATAATTCTGTCCAGTGACATCGGATTAATATGCGGTTTTCAGGAGGGGATAGGCAAATACATAAATACACATTTCTTATGATTTTTACATTTTTGAGATTTTCTGTGTGCGCATGCGCAATACAACTTGCACTTTTTAAATAGCAACAGGTGTTTTGAATCCACATTCGATAGACCGATTTTTTTTAAGTCGATTTGGTCCTTTTTACCAAAGCTCTAAATCAAAATTGACTAAATGGCAACCAGTCAAAGTTTCAATTGAAATTATTGAATTTTTCACCAATCATACTAAAATTTTATGAATTATTATGAAATTTTATTTATTATTTTTGTATCCGTAGGTTTGCAGATATTATTAAATCATTTAAATTTAATTTTGAGGAATTAATTAACCTCACAACGTAAATCTATCCAAATAAATAATAGAAATGTTAGTTCAATTACTAAGTAAGAAAAGATTAAACTAATTAACACAATTTTTTTACAATTTCAATCATTTCTAATAGGACCAATAAGGACTAATAAGGACCAAATCGACTTAAAAAAATTCCGTCTATCCGAATTTGGTATTCAAAACACCTGTTGCCATTTAAAAAAATGCAAGTTGTATGCGCATGCGCACACGGAAAGATCTAAAATGTAAAAATCATTAAGAAATGTGTATTTATGTATTCCCTATCACCTCCTGAAAACCGCATATTAATCCGATGTCACTGGACAGAATTATTTAGTTACCTTTAAAAGGAAACACACTGTAGAGAAAAATTTTTTACTGATGTAGTGACGTCTCCTCCTTAAGACATAAATATAAATATAATTGTAAATTGTAATTATCAAAATATATAACCATATTGTCCATATTAATTTTGTCAATGAAACTCGATAACAAGTAATAACATTATATCTTATTTGTACGTTAAACATAAATTATAGTAGGTACAATATTAATACTCAATACTTTTAATTCCACATAGCCACATAGGTATATATATTGTATATTAATGTGACTAATACGATGAACACATAAATCTTATTATATAAAAAACTATATATTTTTAAAATTATTGATGTAAACATATGAATTCTAAATAATGGTATATTACTATATTGATAAGTAGTAAGTACCCATATTATATTATATGTAATATATATAGCTAATATTTTCATAATTATAAGACTTAAATGAAAGGTTTTACTTTATACTTACACTGAAACGTATAATATTGTATGCTTGAATAGTATATTCATTATACACATCATAATTTCATAAATCATAGTTTAAATATAATAATATTAATATAGTAGTGTACCTTTATAGCACAATTTTATAATGATATACCTATACCTATGTATTTCGTGTACTATATAATTGTAATATGCAAGTAAACAACATCAAGAATAAATCTCAAAAGTATGGTATACTAAAGCATAAATTCCATACGATGAACTACATTGAAGATGTACACTGTGGTGTAGAAATTTCAAACACTTAAGTCGCAATCTGCATTGCGTACACTGTTTAGAAATGCCGACAGCAGCTTTGAAACAGGTTAGCTACTTTTGGCTATTACTTTTGGTATTTAGTTTAAAATAAAATCACAAGTTCCTTGATAAGTGACACAAATCAATATTGAAGGCGTAGTCATAGTTAAATATAAGTAAATTAGAAATGTTCCGAACTATATGCGGAGATCTCTTAATCTTATCAACGTAATAAGTTACTATAATAAGGTATTTGTATATTTGAGTTAATAAGCCACATGACAAAAAATGTTTTGTTTTATTTGGTGATGAATGATAACCATGCATTTTATTATTTTATTACTATACATTTGAATTTATGAAAATGTATTTATTTATTTTTGAATGATTATAGTGATGGCTATCTATTTCCTAAAGAAATCCATTTCTTGTAATCGTTTTCTAAATAAAGCGCTATTATATTCCGCTAGCTATAGAAACTTGTTGTTTGCATTCTGAATTTTTGTGTATCTGATAAAATAAAAACCATTATTTAAACTTACCTATGACATTACCATTTAACTAAGTTCAGCGGCGTGTATCATAAAAAAATTGGTGTTGCTCAAATAATTTTAATTGACCTACCCCTCATATTACTAGCTGTTATACCAACCTATACAATTTACTATTTTTCTTCTGTCAATACCCACCCAACCATATTTAAGGTGTTGCCTGAGCAACACTTGGACCCCGTGTTACACGCCACTGCCTAAGTTCAAAATCAATATAAAAGTTTAATATGCACCTTATGTAATCATAATCCTTATGTTTATTAAACTAAGACGTTTTGTATAGGTACATATAATAAACTAATACGTTTTTAAAATATCGATTAATAAATACATCTATAACTTATATATATAATATATATAGCTAGGAACCTATATAATGTATGGACCTATTTTAAGTTAGTAATGTTTTTTCTTTACTGTAAAGAAATGTCATTCTCGGTAAATATTGACTTTACTCTAATGAATATAGGTAGTACTTGTAAAGGTATATGAAAATATGATGCTACAACCTTAACTACATTTTTTAAATGTTTCTACTGTTTTTAAATACCATATACCGCATGTTTATTCATAAAACTCTTGCAATTTTCTTTTATTTTTGTATACATTATGGTAATACTGGTGGTATACCTACATAGGTAGGTGCCTACTCATTATATACCTAATTACACATTTACTGTTATGATTAAGTTAGGTATTTAATGGGTAGAATATCCAATAAAGCTAGTGCAGCTGTGCGCTTAGTGACCTTATAATGTCATCATGTCGGTTACCTATTCGTGATATCAAATAATATCATAACATGAATACATATATAATGAAGAAGTTGATTAAATAACATTAAACAAATAATCATTATTTTATGTTCTAGCGTCTAGCCACTCTTCGTTATATCACGTAAGGACATATGCGTTATGCGTATGAGCAGGGTAGTTAAAAAGATATCGTTTTGTATTTTAAAAACTACGAAAGCAATAAACTAAATTAAATTCAGAAGAGAACAAATTATATAGAATTCAAGACGTGTAGATGTATATAAATTATAAAGCATTTAACAATTTTTTTAACTACCTATACCTAAAAAATAATTTTCATTTCATGTTCGTCAAATTTTGTTAACGTTTGATCTTCAAATGATTATAAAAAAAGGGCCTGTATAATTTCAATATTAAATTTATATAAGAACAATTTAATATGTGAGACCTAGTACCTGCACCTATATAAAATGATAGTTTAAGCAATAGATGAACGTTTCAAGTTACTATGATTAATATTTTTTGAGCTACAACAAAAAAACAAAAATAATTTAAAGAATAAACGTTATATTAAGTGTCAATATCCAATATCGTTAAAATTTGAACTCAGTTTTAAACACAAAAATTGTGAATAATTATTTTCGATATTTTTTAATAGCTGTAAGAATAAATTATGAGATTAAATTTACAAGCTTTTTACCGACAAACAAACATTTTAGCATGCATAAATCAAATATTCCAAATGTCTATAAACTATAAAATATTATATTTGTATAAATATTTAGTGAAAAGTTAAAGTTTCTATAGTTTCTCACTTTTGAATATACCTATCAAGTACCTATTGTTGAACAAAAATCGGTTATGTCGAAATTCGAGTTTTTCTTTAATTTTTTTCCGTTTATTTTTAAAAACACATTATTTTTGGCCCTCCAAAGCATAAACTAGATCTAATTTGGTACCAGAACCACCCTCTATGTTTAAAATTTGAAGGACTATTACTTTTTGGTGAAAAATATTGCATTAAATATATTATGTTCCGCAATTATTCCCGTTTTTCCACCGGTCTTTTTCAATAATGTAATCAACCAAACTAGATCTAAATTTCTATTAAAAACCACCCTCAAAGTTGGAGATTCAAGCATTTTTTCTGCCCTAACTGCTAACAGTGACATCAAATATACAAAAAATAAAAATAATAATTTTAAAACTATATTCTATAATATTGCTCAGAATCTAAAAATATGCGTGATGAAATACACTATACATAATATTATATTATTTACGTTTGTGTGATTATTTATATATTATTACCTAATAATATTGTACTTTGCAATCAAGAGTGATCGATATATGTCGATATAATTTTAAATTATGTCATTTCATAACTTGTTTTTAGGTTAAGTACTCATGATATTGTGTGAACCAGAAAAGATTGTAGATCGCAGTGGAAGTGCAGGCCTAAAAATTAAAACCTAAGGAGGACATCAGCAAGAAACGATATTTTGTATTGTATTTTTGACTGTAAACTTATTTTATTTAAATGTGAATAATTGTGTGATAAACAACGATAAATTCAGTCACACGTTTTGAAGTGGACCTATAGTACCTACCTACCCAGATATTATAATTTATCAATTTTGACAATTAAAATATTATTGGTTTACGTCAATGTGTATGATGACATTTATTTAATTTTTCTACACTTTTGCGAATCTAGTTTTATATATATGTACTTATTTACTTATAACTTAATTAATATATTATAGGTCGATAACGGATGATTATGAAACCACGTTGCTATTGGATGATGACGAGGATGACGAAGATGATAAATTCACGGATTATCCAACAAAACCTAACACAAAAATGTTTAACGCTGGTGTTACTTATAGGTATAATGTATATATTATTATTTATTACGTCCCTACAAAAAGGCATGTGTATTTTAAATCCCATTACTTTATTTTCATAAAAGAACGAGATCTTTTTATTAACCCTATAACCTTCCATGTTAAGAAAATGAATAAAATGAATATAACATTATGCACTGCAGGATTTTTATGTTTAAAATAGGTACAACGTTAAAGGTTTAAAACATAAATATTCAAAACATTTGTTAATAGTTTAATACATATGTTCTATACATATATATATATATTAAAACAGTGCTTAAACAAAAAATTCAGATTTTTTGTTTTCAAAATGAAAAAATACACCAACTCTGATTATCGATGACCCGCACGACTGTGAAACATGACCTAAGTGAAATCAAGAATTAAATTTTTTGGCGTAAAGCATCATATTGCGATCGAAGAAATGGGAATATAATAATATAGTAAAATCGGACGTAGAATGGTGTGAAACATTATAATCTGACCACAAATTGACCCCAATCAGTGGCGTACACAAATATTTTCAATGGGAAGGGTTGTATAAAAAATTATGATCCAAGGGATCATAGCAATGTATACTTACACAATTTATGTACTCTGCAGGACTGAAACGGAATTGATATGTCGACCGCCGTTCAAGTACGACGGCCAAACGTTATCGCACTGTTACAACGATCGGCACTGCAAGTTGTACGGCGACTGTTGTAGGGACAGTAAGTTTTATGACGAGCCAGGGCAGACTGTGGCCATCACCGGCAGCGTGTACAACAACAGCCGGTACGGGTGTTACAATAAGCACGGCTTGGACTCGGTGCAAGCGCTGTTGATCGGCAGGTGTCCGCGTGTGGCTTCACTAGCTGAACGTGACAAGTGTGAGCGGCGCGACGATGATTTCATATCCACCTACCCCGTGTCAAGCAGTGACGGGACACACACATATAAGAACGTCTGGTGCGCGTTGTGTCACGGAGAACGTCGGCGGGTCGTTTACTGGAAACCTTTATTCGACTGTTACGGGCACGACAAACGGGTGTTACCGGTACAGGTTCGGCTGGAGAACGCGTCCGACCACACACTGTTGTACCGAGACGGCAAGTGGTACTACGCCGACTACAAAAACAGGACGTTATTCTCGTGTGACTACAAGATCCGGCCACCGGACTCGATCGCCACTCCACCATTGCGCCCGTGCGTCGGCGAAGGATCCGCTGAAGGTATCGTGGACGGCTGTCCCGTCGGCACGCCGACCGCCATGGCATTGGCGTGCGCGTCACACACATACACCCTTTTCGAGTACCAGTCAAGCGGTGACCGGGGCAGGCGCGTGTTCCGAAACGCCGACTGCGCCCGGTGCAACGGCTTGACCATTAACCAGTTGATGTGCGAACCACCGGCGCCGCCGTTACTCACACCGTTTATAGGGTTCGGGTCGTTGTTTGCGGTCAGCAGGACCGGCGAACGGCGAAACCCTTGCGCTCCAGACGAGATTTACGACGTTGCCGCTGTCAAGTGCAGGAACGTGATTCAGGAAGAGCTGTCGGGCGCGTGCTTGACGTTCGTGACGTTTGGCCAAGGCGAATACGACGGACGGACCTTGAGCAACGGGACGGTGTACGTGTACGCGTACAAGAAACGCGTCCGATACAGAACGGGAGACCGGCCGACGGTCGGTGCCAAGGGCGGCGGGTCTCTACTACAGGTGTGCACCGAGGACGCGGACGGGCTGCTCAAACCGTACGAACAATCAACGTACGCGGGGTACCTGTCGTACGCGGGCGTGGTTGGATCGTGCGTGTCTGCCGCCGCGCTGGTCGCGCATCTCGTGCTGTTCGGATGCTGTGGATGTTGTACGGGCGCTGAGCCAAAGAACCTGCCCGAAAAGAATCTGGCCAGTCTGTCTACGGGCTTGCTGTTGGGATACGTGGGCTATCTGTCCGTGGCTCTGCAAGCAGTGTCCCCGGGCAATGGACTGCCGTGCCTGGTGTCCGCGCTCACCATGCAGTTCGGTTTCCTGGCCGCTTTTGCGTGGATGTTCGTTATGTCGGCTGACGTTTGGATCGTGCTGCACGCGTCCACGAAAAAACTCCGGGTGGCCGGCGGCCAGCGTCACGGCCGGTTCATCGTCTATTCGATGTTTGCCTGGCTCGCGCCCGCCGCACTCACTGCACTGTCCGCCACCATACAATTGCAATTGGCTCCTGGATCGCTGTTCCCCGAGCTCCGGCCCAACTTCCATTACGACTGCTGGTTCCGGAACCCACAGTCACTTGTCGCGCTGTTCGTGCTGCCGGCCGGAACCGCGATCGCCGCCAACTACGTGTCGTTCTTTGGCGCTGTCCGCCTGATCTCTACATCGGACGATGGGTTCAAGACGTCTGGCAGTGGAGGCCACTGCAGCAACGCTACCACCATCAACCGGACGCGCAGGAATCTCAAGATCTACGTGCGCCTGTCGCTGATGATGGGCTTGGCGTGGGTGTTCGCGATAGTCGGCGCATTCACCGACAGCGACGTCGCCTGGACGCTCAACACGGCCCTCAACTCGCTGCAGGGCGCGTTCATATTCGTCGCGTTCGATTGCAACCGTATCACCGTGCAGAAGTTGGCCGTGTTCCGCAAACAACCATCCGTGTCCGATACTCAGACCACCACAGCGGCCACGCCGCTCAGTGCCTCGACTTAGCCCGCGCCCGACTGAAATTTCCCAACACGCATAATGTGCAGGGTGGTATCCGCGGTGTAGTACAAATGTAACTGTGTAGACATATTTTTGACGCTATTAAGTTTAGGATGGTAGTCGATATAGGTACATTATATGATATTATGTTATATTATACTAAATTATATTATAAATTATATGCCACCGCTTTTGAACAGCAACCTGAACTCTAGGGAATATTTCTCACCGCTATTTGTTTAATTTATTGTAATCACGGAGGTTCGAATGTCACTTTTAACTATATTTGTTTGTCAGTAAGTTTTATTATTCCACTATAATCTCTTTTACCCATACATTATTTTCTTTTTAGATATAATAGTTGTGTTTTAATTATTGTTGTTTCCTATATAATAATGAACAGTAAAAAACATTTTGCAATATTAATTGTAGTATCATTAAATGATTTTTCAGCTAGATACCTACAATTCGTATACCAATTTTTTTTTTGTTACTTATTGGAAATTGCATTTCACCTATTTGATATTATATTTTTTTTCTTTATTTTATATACAATAATACACAAGATCTGCACCGACTGGACCTATACACACACCCGTATAAGGAGAACTGTACCTATATGTGATTTAGTGAAATTATTGTACATTAATAGCTTGACGGAAGAACCTACCCGCAATTGGTAATACTGCTTACAATACAAGACGTTTACCTACTTCACATTTGTTTTCATTTATTTATGTATTTGTTATGTAAGAAAATGTTTCTACTATTTGTAGATACCGTATACCGCATGTTTATTCATAAAACTCAGCAATTTTCTTTTATTATTGTTACGTCATCATGATAATACTGTTGGTATACCTACATATGTAGGTACTCATTATACCTATAAAGTATATACACATTCACTGTTATGAATACGTTTTGGGTAGGTATTTAATAGGTAAAATATCTAATAAAGCACTGGTTAATGACCTTATAATGTCATCATGTCGGTTACCTGTTACCTGTGGTATTCAATAATATCATAACATGAATACATATATAATGAAGAAGTTGATAAAATATCATTTAACAAATATCCTTATAAAACATTTTATAACTATTTAACTACCTATATCTAAAAATTAATTTTAATTTTATGTTCGTCAAATTTTGTTAACGTTTGATCTTAAAATTATTATAAAAAAAATGGACCTATATATATTTTCAATATGTTAAAAATTTAAATTGCTATAAGAACCACATAATATGTGAAAAAAGGTACCTATGGTGCAGTAGTACCTACCTGTAAGTATATAAAATGATAGTTTAAATAATAGATGAATGTTACAAGTTAGTACAATTAATATTTTTTGAGCTATACAACAAAAAAACATCAATCATTTAAAGATGAAACGTTATTTAATCGCTGTAAGAATAAATTATGAGGAACCTTGTATTAAATTTACAAGATTTTTACTGACAATCAAACATTTTAACATCCATAAATCAAATATTTCAAATGTCTATAAAGTATAAAATATAGCACAACAAGAATGAAATTTCATATATCAAGTAAATATTATGTCTATATAAATATTTAGTGAAAAATTAAAGTTTCTATAGTTTTTAAGTTTTAAATATACCTATCAAGTATTCATATATTCCGACAAAAAATAAAAATTGGTTATGTCGAAGTTTTTCCTTAATTTTTTTTTCGTTTATTTTGAAAAACACATTATTTTTGGTTCTCCAAAGCATAAACTAGATCTAATTTGCAACCAGAAACCACCCTCCATGTTTTAAATTTGAAGGATTTTTACTGCTGCAAAATGACTAGATGACATTCCCAAAATAAACACACTTTATTGTATGATTTATACATTTAATGACCAGTTCAGGATATTAAATATTGAAATAAAAAAATGTTAAACGACTTTAAATAGCTTAAATTTATTTGTCCAAATTTTTTTTAAATTATTTTATGTCTAGAAAATTTGTGTTCAAGTTTTGGGAAAAATATTGCGTGAAATATATTATTATGTTCCGTAATTCGCGATTGCGAGTGAAAAATGGGTTAAGTCAACATTTTGTGTAAAATGAGTTATTTAAATCAAAAAATGCAGAAAAAAAAACTACGTAAATTGTGTCAAAAGATATAAGTCAATTTGTATTATCGAATGTATTATTTCAATGCGCGTTTAGTGTTAACTCAATTTTATGTGCTGTAGTCACGAATATAGGTGTATATATCTTTTGACACCAAACTCTTTGTCGTGCACGAGGAGTTAAGTTTGACTTAAATCTTTATGCACAGAATAATGTTGATCACTGTTAAAGATAAGTCAGATATTTAAAATAATAATACCAACATTACTGCCTTTCAACAAGGTTGAAGATATCTAAAACCATGATTACTGCTAAAATGTGTTAGGTTATTAAAATAATAAAATATAATAGATAATGTTATAGTTGAAAATAATATTATTATGGCCTACAATAGTTTAAATGTTTAATACATTATTACAGTCATGAACAAACATTTATTTTGTAAAACAAATATCAAGTCGGTTCCTTAGTTTTTATTTTTATTTTTATTGTTATACTCAATATACTCATAATGTTACCTAGTTATTTTGTATTTGCATGTTGTTACAATTTCAATATATTATTTTATACTTCAACATTCTGTTTTTTGTGACATAACCTTTTCATCAAATTTAATCACATCGTGAAATCAGTGCAAAAAGAGTTAAATCAGTTTTTTTTTAAGTTTGTATAATATTAGGACTTAAAAAATTTTAAGAAGTACAAAAGCTCATTCATTTTGTAGTACAGAACTTATAGATATTAATGGTGTTATTAACGACGTTAACTGTTGAATACCTGATCTTGCATATTTAATTTAACTTTGTTTTTGCTCTCCTGAAAAATTTGATTTTAATGACTTAATCCCTTTTTCACGAGCAACCGCAAATTATTCTCGTTTTTCCAGCTGTCATTTCATTAATGTAACCTACCAAATTAGATCTAAATTGCTATTAAAAACCACCCTAAAAGTTGGAGATTGAAGCATTTTTTCTGCCCTAACAGCTTACAGTGACTTCAAACATACAAAAAAATAATAATTTTGACACTATTTTCTACAATATTGCTCCGCTCAGAAACTAAAAATGTGCATGATGTCAAATCCGTATACACTGTAAATAATATATTATTTACGTTTTTGTGATTATTTACATAATATTATTACCTATAATATTGTACATACAATCCAGAGTGATCGATATGTCCATATCATATTAAATTATGTCATTTCATGTCTTGTTTTTAGGTTAAGTACTCATGATGTGTGAGCCAGAAAAGATTGTGGGTCGCGGTGGAATTGCAGGCCTAAAAATTTTAAAGTCTGAAGAGACTTTAGAGAAACGTTATTTTGTATTGTATTTTTTACTGTAAACTTATTTTATTTGAATGTGAATAATTGTGTGATAAATAACGATTAATTCAGTCACACGTTTTGTAGTGGATCTGTAGTACCTACATTCGTTATTAGTACCTACTTAGATATTATTATTTAATAATTTTGACAGTTAAAATATGATTAATCAATGTGTATGATGACATTTATTTCATTTTTCTAGAGTTTTGCTAATCTAGTTTTATTTATAGTTACTTATGGTTATTGATTTATTACACAACTTGATTAATATATTATAGGTCGATAACGGACGATTATGAAACCACGCTGCTTTTGGAAGATGACGAGGATGGCGAGGATCACGAAATGTTTAACGCTGGTGTTACTAACAGGTATATTTTATTATTTATTACGTTCCTACATAAGGGCAGTTGTATTTAAAATCCCATAATTTTATTTTATGCTTCAGACCAACCCCCCCCCCCATTTTTATTACCTTAGTAAAAGGTTTTGAGAGGGTGTGGCATTTTCCAATCACAACGTTTTAAACAACTTATTTTAAATATGTTTGATACATTTCACCGTTTTGTTAATTGTTTAAAACAGTTAAAACCTGTGTATCCTTTCGCATTTTGCTCATATCACTACCTAGGTGTCGTTCTGTTTATATTAACGAGGTCTCGGGGACTCGCCCTCGGTGTCTAATATTATTATTAGGGATCAGAAATACCTTATGTGAAGGTAAACGTAAATGTAAATATATATTATATGTATCTGTTATTAAATATCAATGTATTATTATTATTACAACATCGAATCTTATAATATATCAAACATCAAATCATAATATGTTAGAGCAGTGTTTAAACAAAAAAAACCGTTTTTTTTTTATTTTTTTTTTTTCAAAATGAAAAAATACAAAAACTTTGAATATGGTTGACCCGCACGACCGTAAAACATGGTGTGAAACCAATAGTTAAATATTATTTTGGGATAAAGTATCATATTGTTATCAAAGAAATGGTATTAGAATGTAGTAAAACCGGACGTAGAATGGTGTGAAACATTATAGTCTGACCACAAATTGACCCCAAGCAATGTCTTCAACAGATATTTTCAATGGGAGGGGTTCTGTAAAAGATTATGTACACCACTTTACCCAAGGGATCATAAAAATTAATACTTACACAATTTATGTACTCTGCAGGACTGAAACGGAATTGATATGTCAACAAACGTTCGAGTACGACGGCCAAACGTTATCGCACTGTTACAACGATCCGCACTGCAAGTTGTACGGCGACTGTTGTAGGGACAGTAAGTTTTATGACGAGCCAGGGCAGACTGTGGCCATCACCGGCAGCGTGTACAACAACAGCCGGTACGGGTGTTACAATAAGCACGGCTTAGACTCGGTGGAAGCGCTGTTGATCGGCAGGTGTCCGCGTGTGGCTTCACTAGCTGAACGTGACAAGTGTGAGCGGCTCGACGATGATTTCATATCCACCTACCCCGTGTCAAGCAGTGACGGGACACACACATATAAGAACGTCTGGTGCGCGTTGTGTCACGGAGAACGACGACGGGTCGTCTACTGGAAACCATTATTCGTGTGTTACGGGCACGACAGCCAGGTGTTACCGGTACAGATTCGGCTGGAGAACGCGTCTGACCACACACTGTTGTACCGAGACGGCCAGTGGTACTACGCCGACTACGAAAACCGGACGTTATTCTCGTGCGACTACAAGATTCAGCCACCGGACGCGATCGCCACTCCACCATTGCGCCCGTGCGTCGGCGAAGGATTCGCTGAAGGTATCGTGGACGGCTGTCCCGTCGGCACGCCGACCGCCATGGCATTGGCGTGCGCGTCACACACCTACACCATTTTCGAGTACCCGTCAAGCGATGGCAATAATATTCGCGTGTTCCGAAACGTCGACTGCGCCCGGTGCAACGGCTTGACCATTAATCAGTTGATGTGCGAACCGCCGGTACCGCCGTTAAGCAGCAAACCGTTTATAGGGTTCGAGTCGTTGTTTGCGGTCAGTAGGACCGGCGAACGGCGAAACCCGTGCGCACCAGACGAGATTTACGACGTGGCCGCGGTTAAGTGCAGGAACGTGATTCAGGAAGAGCTGTCAGGTGCGTGCTTGACGTTCGTGACGTTTGGCCAAGGCGAATACGACGGACGGACCTTGAGCAACGGGACGGCGTACGTGTACGCGTACAAGAAACGCGTCCGATACAGAACGGGAGACCGCCCGACGTTCGGTGCCAAGGGTGGTGGTACTCTACTACAGGTGTGCACCGAGGACGCGGACGGGCTGCTCAAACCATACGAACAATCAACGTACGCGGGGTACCTGTCGTACGCGGGCGTGGTTGGATCGTGCGTGTCTGCCGCCGCGCTGGTCGCGCATCTCGTGCTGTTCGGATTCCGTGGATGTTGTACGGGCGCTGAGCCAAAGAACCTGCCCGAAAAGAACCTGGCCAGTCTGTCTACGGGCTTGCTGTTGGGATACGTGGGCTATCTGTCCGTAGCTCTGCAAGCAGTTTCCCCGGGCCATAGACTGCTGTGCCTGGTGTCCGCGCTCACCATGCAGTTCGGTTTCCTGGCCGCTTTTGCGTGGATGTTCGTTATGTCGGCTGACGTTTGGATCGTGCTGCACGCGTCCACGAAGAAACTCCGGGTGGCCGGCGGCCGGCGTCACGGCCGGTTCATCGTATATTCGATGTTTGCCTGGCTCGCGCCCGCCGCACTCACTGCACTGTCCGCTACCATACAATTGCAATTGGCCCCTGGCGCGCTGTTCCCCGAGCTCAGGCCCAACTTCTATTACGAATGCTGGTTCCGGAACCCACAGTCACTGGTCACTCTGTTCGTGCTGCCGGCCGGAACCGCGATCGCCGCCAACTACGTGTCGTTCTTTGGCGCTGTCCGCCTGATATCTACATCGGGCGATGGGTTCAAGACGTCTGGCAGTGGAGGCCACTGCAGCAACGCTACCACCATCAACCGGACGCGCAGGAATCTCAAGATCTACGTGCGCCTGTCGCTGATGATGGGCTTGGCGTGGGTGTTCGCGATAGTCGGCGCATTCACCGACAGCGACGTCGCCTGGACGCTCAACACGGCCCTCAACTCGCTGCAGGGCGCGTTCATATTCGTCGCGTTCGATTGCAACCGAATCACCTTGCAGAAGTTGGCCGTGTTCCGCAAACAACCGTCCGTGTCCGATACTCAGACCACCACAGCGGCCACCTCGCTCAGTGCTTCGACTTAGCGGGCGCCCGCCAGAAATTTCCCAACACGCATATTGTGCACGTTGTAGTACAAAATATGTAACTGTGTAAACATATTTTTGACGCTATTGAGTTTAGGATGGTAGTAGCGATATATTTACATAATGTTATATTAAATTTTATTATATTATATATTTATATGTTACCGCTTTTGAACAACTACCTGATTTCTAGTTAATATTTCTCACCACTTTATATTTTTTTGAAATTAAATTTATTGTAATCATGGAAGTTCGAATGTCACTTTTAACTATTTTTGTTCGTTAGTAAGTTTTATTATTCCACTATAATCCCTAGCTATTAACCATACATTTTTTTTTTAAATATAATAGATACGTTTTAATTTTTGGTACTTTTATATTATATAATAATTAACAATAAAAAACATTTTGTAATATTAATTGTAGTATCATTAAATTATTTTTCTGCTAAATACCTACAATTATTTATTTATTTGTATACCAACATTTTTTGTTTTTTTGTTAATTATTGGAAATTGCATCTTATCCATTCGATCATTCACGCAAATATTTTATATTTATTTTCTTTATTTTATATACGATTGTACACAAAATCTGCACCGACTGAACCCATACGCATAACTGTATAAGGAGTAGGCACTGCACCTATGTGATTTAGTGAAGTTATTTTACATTAATAGCTTGACGGAACAATCCACCGATTATACATTGGTAATACTACTTACAATACATGTGTACCTACTTCACATTTATTTTTATTAATTAATTAATTTATGTATTTTTGTATTACTTGAGCAAATCTCTACATCATTTTCGCCTCAAGTGTCCAGCAAGTGGATTACTAGGAATGATGTCGAAGGTTTGGATTATGAGGTTTTTTGTTGGCATGATCATGTGAGTGCCAAATGCCAAGGATCTTGCTTTAATAGAAAAAAAATGTTATTACATTTTTAAGAAATATGACTGCATTATAGTTGTTTATAAAACCAGTAATTATAGAACACTGTTTTAAAACAATATAGATAGACCATGATGTCTGTAATTACGTAGGTAGTATAATCATACTTATAAAATAGTATTATTTCATTTCATATTGTAATTATAACTCTAAAGTAATAATATTAACGATTCCAACATTTCTGACTCATAAATAAATAGGTAGTTTAATTATTATATTTTGGTATCTCGTTCTTCGAATGGAATATTCAAAACTTCATATGCAAACAATTAGGTATTATACCAACGGAAAATATTTATCGGCAAATTAAAGGAACCAGCTGCAATATATTATTATATAATTACCTATGCGCTTAGCCTTTAGCGTAATATTGTTGTCAGTGGCGCATTTAGGGGGGGGCGAAGGGGGCAAATGCCCCCGGTGGCAAATTCTTAAGAGTTTTAAGGGAGGCAGTTTTATCGAGTGTATTTTTTGTATCACAAAATATAATATAACATTGTTTAACGTGTATAAATTGTATAAGGTATAATATTTTATGATAATGATTTTGTGATAACGGATTATCGTATCAAATCATTTTGAGTTAAATGCAAATCTTTATTATCTATGGTTAAATGTGCAGATATTGTGATATGAATGTATGATTGTCGACTGATAACGTATAAAACGAATTATTATTTATTACTAAACGATTTCAAGCCGTTTAGAATTCAAAATTGAAGGTATAATTTTTATATAATACGTCATTATGTCATATTATGTGGTGTAGCCTTTGTAAGGTGTAAACACATATACTCAATTGTTGTGGTTTTATTACGGAAATTACTACTGTGGAGGTAAGAGAAAAGGCTGCAGTTCTACAGCAAATATATAAGGATGATCTTGGGAAAACTTTTCCAAATGAATGTGTCCACTTCAGAGCACACATACTAAGTTTAAAAAAAATGAAGAAAATAGTCCCAGGGACCGCTCAGGATTCGTCGACTTTTATAAAAGTGAATAACCTAATTGAACTTTATCCATATATTATATCCATCTATTATGTACTCCATCTAACAATATTGTTCTGCAGAGAGATCATTTTCTGCTCTTAAAAGAGTCAAAAATTATCTACGGTCTACAATTGGAATAGAACGGTTAAACTCCTTAGCCATGCTCAATATAGAATCCAAGTTGACAAATAAACTCCAATATGATGACATTATTGATGAATTTAAAAACCAACAGGCAAGAAAAAAATTATAATTAAACTGTTCAATAAAATAAATAAAAATTGATTTATGTCATTAAGTATTTGGTATGATTTTTTCATTGAATAAACCTTTTGAAATTGTATACTGTTAAACCCTATGGTAGGTCTGAGGTTGTAATGAGTAGCGACCAGAAGGGGGGGGGGGCGACAATAAAATAATTTCGCCCCGGGGCGCATATATTCTAAATGCGCCACTGATTGTTGTTCCATAGCAACTAACACATAGGCATACTCAATAAGAATCAATAGTCAAACAAACATCCTTACGACCGCGTTGTACAACGGTCGTTGTTTTCATTGTAGTCGTAGAATAGTTTGTGAAGTTATTCTACAATTAGGCATGTTCATCCTTGCATAGTTTTACATAGTGACTATATAATTACCTGCACCTATAGACGATTCGTGTATAGACCATGGAAGAGTTTGCAGACACCAAAGAAGACGAAAACAAGAAAATTGTTCACACCTATCCATTAGTGCAAGTGAGTGTATCCACACTTGAAGTTATACATAATATATATGATAATATAATACCTACAGTAGTGGGCCAGTGGCGTAGCCGGGAATTTTATTGGGGGGGGGGGGCAATTCGTTCAAATTTTAATTTTAATACATTATCTTTTACGTAATATATTCACAGAGCACTGAAAAAATTTATAATATTTTCTCGAAATTTCTCCGGCGGCATTCCTCTTTAATAAATTGACAGTTAGATCCCCGCCTGGCAATGACACTGACCTACAGGTATTATAGGTATATTGTATACAGTATACCTACATACAAAATACAAAAATAAACATGCTTATGTTTCAAATCTCGTTCATGCAAACCCTGTAATGCATTGGTGAAAAGTACCTATTTTTAGTAGGTGTCTATTAGTACCTTTTCTTATATTATTAAAAACTTTTGTTACAATTGATTATTGAATACTCATAATAAATATTAAGGTTTTTAAGTTATCAACCAAGTATTTTGAAAAAGGTACATACCTAAATACGACATATTCCGTATTGGCTAAAAATATTATTGAATACTTATTGCCTATTGGGTAATTTTATTATGCTAATATTTTTTTTTTTTAATACCAAACATAATAGGTACATATAATAAATACAATACCTTAAAAGTTAGTAAATTCAAAAACCTACCTACTAAACTTTTTTAAAATTCATGTTTATAATATCTAAATGTTGTATATTGTCAGGCGTGTGATATGTCAGAAGAAATGAAAGCTGAAACGGTTGAAGTTATAATTACAGCATGCGAAAAATTTGGAACAGATTATTTCGTAAGATTAATCAATTTTTGTTAATTTATTCATAGGAATTCGTACCTACACATTTCAAGTCTAACGTTTCAAACTTTCACACCTTGGTGGTACTAAATATCTCACGGGTAGCGATATATAATATATGACTATACATCTCATCAAAAAAAAAATGATTTATGCATGATTATAATAGGCACTTACTACCCATTTGTGGTGTGGCACACTTTTTGGATCCGGAATATTTATAATAAAAAGCGGTGTATAATAAACCTCGAGTCTAAAAGAGAACCTTGCTATTGATAAAGAGAGATCCCGTAAATTTTCTCTACGCTATTTTGATAAAAAAGCATTTTAACTTATTTATAGTTTTGATAAAATGTTTTTACCTGAAGAACTTATGAACAATTTAATTTTTGATGTCTTTAAATTTATACGATTAGAAAAGTAATAAAATGTTCACAAATATTATACAAAAATGCCGCAATTCCATTTAATATTTTTTTCAATATTATATGTAGGTAGGACGTACCAGCTGCAGCTCTAATTTCCATGATAAAATATATATATAGGTACTAATCATATATTTTTTTTTTAACATACTAGCTAATGATATACGATTACCAAATGTAAACAATTTACTTCGTTATTATAATTAATTATGAACTATTGAATTTTTTCATCCAAATATAAAAAATAAAATAGTGGTTCGTTATTTTATTTTATTTACTAGTTTTCACTCTACGCTATAGGTAGGTAGGAAGTAACAACTGATACTTAGATATAACTACTTTTGTTCATGACATTAATAATAGGTACCTATAATGATAGTTTTATGCAATGATAATATCTTATGCAGTTATACTATACCTATTGTTTGTCCCAAAAGTTTGTAATACGCATTTTTGGTTAGATACCTATCAAACTAAATCATAATTCCTGAAAAATTTAAGATAATATAATAATATATAATATATAATACAGTATAATACATAGTTTAATAATCAAACAATATGGGAATAAATTGGTCAAAAAATAATTAAGGGGGAGAGTCGTCTCGCGGTGACACTCGTTCGATACACACGTGTCTTTCTGCGCTCCGTATGTATACGATGTATTTCGCTCATGTCTGTTCGTTTTTTTTTCACTTTTTTTTGAAACTTAAACCAAAATACGTATAGTGTTTTTTTCTCTCAGCTTGTCTTTTACACAGAGACAACAGTAAACTCGATCCATTCACTAAGTGCTCTAAAGCTTATTAATTTAAACTATTCTTTACGTTATACTATAACTCAGTATTGCATAACGCACGCACACCCACACACACACACACACACAGGTACCGGCCGATGCGGCGGTACCTCTTATCGGAAAGTCGCCGAGTCACACGCAACGTTCAACGTTCAACTACTTATCTTCACTGATAGTAATATATATATTTTAATTAATTACCTTCACCATGACCAAGAATAACACAAACACACAATCTAATGTTAATAACACCCAAACGTCCAAAAAACCAACTAAACCGATCGCGATCAAATTAACCAACACAGCTGATGGTTGGAAAACGACCCAACAAAATAAAAGACTGCTTTCTAATTCATCAAACTCACAACCTAACTCCCCCACCTCTCCTCAAACTCACAAAAGCAAATTATTCAAAACCACTAACCGTTATGAAGTACTCGCCCAAAATGAAAATGAAAATAATTCAGATGATCCTGGTGATAATGATATATCAGAACATGATGCTGAACTCTTGGTTAAACTACCTCCTCCTATTTATATAAAAGGAGTGCTTGATTTTCAAGGTCTATGTACCAAATTAATCGAACTCATTGGAGTTGATAATTTCATCTGTAAATCTACAATAGATCGTCTTAAAATTCAAACAAAGCACCCCGAATCTTACAGAACAACAATTCAACTCTTAAAAGAAAATAAAGCGGAATATCACACTTATCAACTAAAAGAAGACAAGCCATTACGCGTAGTGATCCGGAACCTCCATCCCTCTACCAAAACAGAAACTATCAAAGAAGAATTATTAATCCGCCATTTCGATATCCGCCAAGTTACAAATGTCCTACATAAAAATAGCAAAATCCCTCTGCCACTATTTTTTATAGATCTGGAACCTGTTGAAAAATCCAAAGAAATCTTCCAACTACAAAACTTGCTTCACACCAAAGTCAAAGTAGAAGAACCGTACAAACCCAAAGTAATAAGCCAGTGCACCAACTGCCAAGACTACGGCCACACACAAAACTATTGCGGATACCCCCCACGCTGTGTGAGATGTGGAGCTAATCATCCTTCAGCAACCTGTCCAAACTCTCGTGAACACCCTCCAAAATGTGCTCTTTGTGCCAATAATCATCCTGCCAACTACAAGGGCTGCACCATATACCGAGAACTGCAACAACGCAAGTATTCAAATAAAAATAATAATGCACCTGTAAACAATTCTAGACTTAAGCAATCAAATGTACAAGTAAGCCACCCATTGCAAGATAGCTCACTTAATAATTCTTCTAATACCAAAACTTACGCGCAAGCTACTTCCAACGTTCCACCACAAAACTCCTCTGACTCCTCTACATCTGATATCAGTAAAGTAATGTCAAGTTTTATAGATGAATTCAAAGCCCTCATACATCCGCTACTAGCTCTACTTACTAAAGTAATATCCAGCCTATTAGACAAAAAAAATGACTAATCGCTCACCCACTAACGCTTCATTATTAATTCTCCAATTTAATGCAAATGGCCTAAGGAACCACATAAACGAATTACAAATAATTTTACATTCTAAACGTATCGATATTGCTATGATAACTGAAACTCATTTCACCAATAACTCTTACTTCTTTATTCCCGGCTACAAACTAATTAATACAAACCACCCTGACAACACTGCACATGGAGGTGTTGCCATATTCATAAAATCCTCACTAGAATTCCAAGAACTCCCGAGCTTCCGACTAGACTACCTGCAATCCTGTGCGCTAACAATAAAACTAAACTTTACACCATTCACTATTGCAGCTATATATTCCCCTCCTAAACATAAAATTACCACCCAAAAGCTGACTGACTACTTCAATACCATCCAACAGGACAACTTCATAATTGGAGGAGACTACAACGCTAAACACCAATACTGGGGCTGTCGGGCCAATAACCCAAGAGGTCTTATCCTATATAACTTTGTCAAAAATAATAATTTCAAAGTACTTGCCCCACCTGGACCAACTTACTGGCCAACGTCCTTAAGAAAAAACCCTGACATTCTGGACATATTCGTTACTAAAATTCCTAACAGAATACACACTACCACTGAAAACCTGTTAGATTTAAATTCTGATCACTCCTCAATACTGCTAACTCTAAACACCTATCCACCAATTCGCCCCCAACCACCTAAACTTTTCTATTCTCACACCGATAAGCTCCTATTCCATAACCTTGTCCAACAAGAAATTAAATTAAATGTCAAATTAAAATCTACTGACGACATTGACTTAGCAATTAATGACCTAACTAACTGCATACAAACAGCTGCTTGGGCATCAACAAATCCAAATGAGCTCCCCAAGGTAACTAATCCAACTCCCCAAAACATAAGAGTTATCATAGCCGAGAAACGTAGATTAAGGGCTCAATATCAGCGAACTAGACTACCTTCGGATAAACATAAATACAATAAACTGGCAAACAAATTAAAAAAAATTCTCACTAAACATAAACTAGAATCACTTCATAACCACTTATCTAATCTATCAAATAAAGACGGAAGTCTTTGGAAAGCTACCAAACAAGCTCTTAAATATAAATCTTCGAATATTCCCATCAAAAAAGACAACGGCACTTATGCTTCTAAAGACTCAGAAAAAGCAGAATTATTCAAGATCTATCTGCATAACACTTTTCAGCCCCATGAAAACATAATTAACTATGACAATATAAACACAGTAAACCAGTTTCTAGATACTCCCCTTCCCCTCTCTACCCCTGTCAAACACTTCTCACCAAATGATGTCAAGTACATAATTCAAAAATATCCCAATCGAAAATCACCGGGCTATGACCTAATCACTGCTGAAGTCGCTAAGTATCTCCCAAAAAAAGCTATCATTCACCTCACTCATATTTTTAATGCTATACTAAGACTTTCCTATTTCCCAACTGTTTGGAAATTCTCATCTATTATTCTCTTTCCAAAACCCAATAAACCCCCAGATCTGGCAACGTCTTATAGACCTATAAGCCTACTTCCGTTTTTTGCAAAAATTCTTGAGAAATTAATTCTCAAAAGAATCTTACCTAGCATCAATGAAAATAAAATTCTTCCAGATCATCAATTTGGCTTCCGCCAATCACATTCTACAATCCATCAAGCTCACAGGATAGTTGATGCAATTTCTTTCTCCCTTGAGAAAAAATTGTATTGCACCTGTGTCTTTCTGGATGTTTCACAAGCGTTCGACAAAGTTTGGCATCATGGTCTACTATTCAAACTCAAACAATTCTTACACCCTTCCTACTACCTTCTCATTAAATCATACTTAACCAACCGCAACTTCCGAGTATGCTATGGCTCCTCTGTCTCAAGCATAGCCCCTATAAATGCAGGTGTCCCTCAAGGAGGCATACTTTCCCCGATACTATATAACATTTACGCATCAGATCAACCTACGACACCTCACACGTTAACTGCAGAATACGCAGATGATAAGGCAATAATTTCCATCAACGCAGACCCTCTGATAGCCTCTAGAAACCTACAAAATCACCTACATCTTATGGAAAAATGGTACACTAATTGGAGAGTCAAAGTAAACCAAGATAAATCCTTTCACACGACATTCACTCTAAAACAGGCTCCATGTCCAAATGTCAATCTCTATGGAATCCATATTCCCCATTCCCAAACAGTAAAATATCTAGGACTTATTTTAGACCGTCGACTTACATGGGCTCCACACATAAAATCAAAAAGGTTACAATTAAACAATCGATTACGCACTCTAAGCTCATTGCTACACAGAAACACACACACTAACCTAAATGTAAAATTAATAATATATAAAGCTCTTCTAAAACCCATCTGGACCTACGGGCTCCAGCTCTGGGGTAGTGCAAAAAAATCAAATATTCAAAAAATTCAAGCTTTTCAAAACATTACCCTAAGAAAAATCACAAATGCCCCTCCCTTTGTATCCAATCTTACGCTTCATAATGATCTAAGAATAACAACAGTACTTGACGAAGCTAAATGCTACTATAAAAGATTTCACACCAAACTACCTCTTCATCCTAATCCTCTAATTAAAAAACTATCTACCTTGTCCATTCCAGGTAATCCACCTAGACGGCTTAAGCGAAGATGGTGTCGAGACCTTCTGTCTAATAATTAAAATTAGCTTAACTTAAAGCTAAGAACACAAAATAGGTAGTATCACCAATGGGTGGTTTCTTCCATCAAAAAATTCACATGTAAATACCCTGTGCACATTTGCTAATTGTTCTAGTAAGTACAGATTGTAAATTTCTTGTAAAAATAAAAAAAAAAAAAAAGGGGGAGAGCCATTATCACCTCCGAGTACATCGCCGCTACATTAACAATATTATGTCAATATAATAATAACTCGACATAACTTTAACAGGCGGCGGCCAAGACGGTGAAACAAATGCTCGATAAAAAATACGGTCCTCAGTGGAACGCGGTGGTCGGAGAAGCTTTCGGCATACAAATAACGCACCAGACCAATACGTTGATGTACATGTTTTTTGGCGGCAATCTCGGCATTTGCGCCTGGAAAATCTAACCGTATCAACGAGACAACTAGTTGTTTCAAAAACAATAGAATAGACAATAGAAAATTATTTAATTATTATACAACAATATTATCGTGTAATATAATATTATAGTACCTATTAAATATCAATTATATTGGTTCTGTTACAATATCCACAACCATTCAGCAAAGTAAATATGAATAATCATGTATATTAAGATGGTTTTTTGGAAAATGTTATCGATGGCAGGTGGTCACAATCATCAAAAATACACGTGTACAATTTATTTAAATCTTGTACTTGAGTGGGGCTATAATAGGTACCTACGGTACTTTGTACGATTACAATAAATTCATAATTCATAAAATGTTTATTTTTTCTTTTATTTAGGAAGGCTATATGCTATAGCCTATATCAAATACTAAATACGATAATACAAGACACTGGCATATAAAAACTGGCGAATTATTTCTTATCATTGCCCCGCGAGATTGTTAAAGTAGTTGCCTATTTTACTCCTTGAAATGTTTATAAATACAAATTAATTTAGAACACCGATTTCATTTTATTGTTTATTTTCTAATGCCAAATGCCAATCAACGATTATAATTTTTAATTAGAAATATTAAATTATTTAGATTTTAGATTATATAGTATTTGCATATTTACACATACTTAAAATCTCCATAAGTTCATAAATCCTATTGGGAAATACGATACCTAAACAATATAATGTTAAATGTAAGCTTTATAGTAGGTATTAATTAAATGTAATTCAAAACATATATTATACTTATATATTTTACTTTTTTCATAATAATTATACAACACAAATCAAAATATGAAATTATAACATAAGTGCTTAAAACTGATGGTGCATAAAACTGAATATCTCTTAATAATAATTTTTCAATTAAATAAACACTGTACTCAAACGTGAACTACTTTTTTCAACTTTTTATTTTTTGAACATTTATATTGGTTGAATCATTGCATTTCTTCACATAGCAATTAATACTCACATTTAAAAATTTATCCAAAAATTGAGAATTGCAGTCTTCACATATACTTAGTGAGTAGCTTTTACAAATATGGCTTATAATAAGTTTAAGATCCTTTTTTAAATTACATTTTTTTTTTTAGAATAAGGTTTTCAATGTTTGCATGAAAAAGTGCAGAAACATGTTTAGTAAATTCCAATGTTTTGGCAAGAGGATAAAGTAAACTGCAGCCATCAATTCCTACCGAGGAACTTGATAAATGATAATATTTATGATAAAAAACAAACAATATTACTATAATATTAGTAATTTAGTATTATAATAATATAATCGTATATAGTATTTGCAATTAATATTCAAAAAAAGCGGGAATTTATACCAGATTAAGGGGTAAAATAGGCAACTTTTATAACAATCTCGCGGGGCAATGATAACAATTTGTTCGCCACTATTTTAATACAGAGTGTCCTACTGTCCTGTATTATCGTATATAGTATTTGCCTATATCTATCGTACACATGACCAGGTATAGTCAATAGCATAGTAGAGTGCCTACTCCCTAAACTAAATACAGATAAACACGGACAATAGCCAAAAGGTCTTGCCCGGTGCAACGGCTTGACCCCATTAATCAGTTGATGTGCGAACCGCTTACCGCCGGTACCGCAGCAAACCGTTCATAGGGTTCGGGTCGTTGTTTGCGGTCATAGCAAAACCGGCGAACGGCGAAACCCGTGCGCACCAGACGAGATTTACGACGTTGTCGCTGTCAAGTGCAGGAACGTGATCCAGGAAGAGCTGTCGGGCGAGTGCTTGAAGTTCGTGACGTTTGGCAAAGGTGAATACGACGGACGGACCTTGAACAACGGGTTGGCGTACGTGTACGCGTACAAGAAACGCGTCCGATACAGAACGGGAGACCGCCCGATACCTCATAGGCGCAATTTGGGTTAAATATATGGGGGTGCTAGAGTTATATCGACTAAAGTGGTAAATGGGGCTTCACACCCCCCTCTATTCATACAACTTAATTTTATACACATTCACATTAATCTTAATACAAACAATTACCTATAACATAATGCACTTTTACCTATATGAATATTCTGATAGGTACCTATGTATCATTATTATTATGAAAATGATAGTCTTAGAAATAAATGTATCCAAATCCAATTCGTAGGGCAATTCGTTCAAATTTTAATTTTAATACATTATCTTTTACGTAATATATTCACAGAGCACTGAAAAAATTTATAATATTTTCTCGAAATTTCTCTGGCGGCATTCCTCTTTAATGAATTGACAGTTAGATCCCCCGCCTGGCAATGACACTGACCTACAGGTATTATAGGTATATTGTATACAGTATACCTACATTCAACATATACAAAAAGAACCATGCTTATGTTTCAAATCTCGTTCATGCCAACCCCGTAATGCATTGGTGAAAAGTACCTATTTTTAGTAGGTGTCTATTACTTAGTACCTATTCTTATATTATTAAAAACTTTTGTTACAATTGATTATTGAATACTCATAATAAATATTAATATTTTTAAGTCATCAACTAAGTATTTTGAAAAAGGTGCATACCTAAATAGACATATTCCGTATTGGCTAAAAATATTATTGAATACTTATTGCCTATTGGGTAATTATGCTAATATTTTTTTTTTTAATACCAAACATAATAGGTACATATATAATAAATACAATACCTTAAAAGTTAGAAAATTCAAAAATCTACCTACTAAACTTTTTTTTAAATTCATGTTTATAATATCTAAATGTTGTATATTGTCAGGCGTGTGATATGCCAGAAGAAATGAAAGCTGAAACGGTTGAAATTGTAATTACAGCATGCGAAAAATTTGGAACAGATTATTTCGTAAGATTTATCAATTTTTATTAATTTATTCATAGGAATTCGTACCTACACATTTCAAGTCTTTTTTTTAACATACCTACTAGGTAATGATATGCGATTACCAAATGTAAATAATTTACTTCGTTATTATAATTAATTATGAACTATTGAATTTTTTCATCCAAATATAAAAAATAAAATAGTGGTTCGTTATTTTATTTTATTTACTAGTTTTCACTCTACACTATACGTAGGTAGGAAGTAGCAACTGATATTTAGATATAACTACTTTTGTTCATGACATTAATAATAGGTACCTATAATGATAGTTTTATGCAGTTATACCTATTATTCGTCCCAAAAGTTTGTAATACGCATTTTTGGTTAGATACTTATAGATACCTATACCTACCTATCAAACTAAATCGTAATTTCAGAAAAATTTAAGATAGGTACCTAGTACAATAAGACATAAGTTGTGCATGCAGTCCCTCTAGATTACGGGTTGCGGTTGAGTTTGAGGGGCTGAGCTCAAAATGAATTATGAAATTCAAATTTGTCAATTGTCATTACAGTATAATACAGAGTTTAATAATTAAACAATATTGGAATAAATTGGTCAAAAAATAATTAAGGGGGAGAGCTATTATCACCTCCGAGTACATCGCCGCTACATTAACAATATTATGTCAATATAATAATAACTTGACATAACTTTAACAGGCGGCGGCCAAGACGGTGAAACAAATGCTCGATAAAAAATACGGTCCTATGTGGAACGTGGTGATCGGGGAATCGTACGCCATACAAATAACGCATCAGGAAAATAGGTACGTTGATGTACATGTTTTTTGGCGGCAATCTCGGCATTTGCGCCTGGAAAAGCTAACCGCATCAACGAGACAACTAGTTGTTCCAAAAACAATACAACAATAATATAATACAATATACAACAATAATATCGTGTAATATATTATATAGTACCTATTAAATATCAATTATATTGGTTCTGTTACAATATCCACAACCCTTCAGCAAAGTAAATATGAATAATCATGTGAATTAAGATGGTTTTTTGGAAAATGTTATCGATGGCAGGTGGTCACAATCATCAAAAATGCACGTGTACAATTAATTAAATCTTGTACTTGAGTGGGGCTATAATAGGTATCTACGGTACTTTGTACGATTACAATATATTCATAATTCATAAAATGTTAATTTTCAATTTTATTTAGGAAGGCTATATGATATAGCCTATATCTATCGTACACATGACCAGGTATAGTCAATAGCATAGTGCCTACTCAGTACTCCCTACACTAAAAACAGATAAACACGGACAATAGCCAAAAGGTCTATTAGCATGTCGTTTAGAATATTATAATTTATCACCAAAACAGTATACAAATAATAATATAAAAGACAACCTAGTTATACCTAGAAAATTGTACAATATTTTAAGAAAAATTACAAAAATATTTTAATACATTTTTAACTTTTTAAAAAACTACAAATCAATGAATCTTTTATATTACCTATATCATAGAATATATATAATTTTTTAAAAAATAAGACACTGTTCGATTATGAGGAAAAAATATAAAAATTATAATTTTCAATCATAAATAGATAATTTACAACTACACAAGTATGTTTTTTAAACTCTGATCATTTCATTATCAGAAGTAAAAAATTTTCAATATCCATTCAATGAGTCTCTATTGAAATATGAAAACCTGTTTTAACAACTTTATGTTAGGTCAACCTGTTTTTAACTTTATTTAGCTGCTGTTATAGACTTACATTCTATTTTTAGTATATGTTTTCAGTTAGGTAAGAAATAGTAGTAATAAAAACAAAAAACAAACTTAACGTCAACAAATAACTGGAAATATTATATTAATAAAATTAATTTATCAACATTTATCTACATTCTACATCACATCATATTTGAAATGTATAATTCAACGTATTTAACTTATAAAATCATGGAGGATTATAAAATCACTCAATCAACCTAAAGATGTTTATTAGAGTTACACAATATTGATAATAATACCTAATATGATAAGTAGTTAAGGTAACTTAAAATTAAAAGTATTTAATAATTATTGATTGTAATAAAAATAAATACATTTATTTGATGGAAAATAACTAATTACCAAAAGTTTAGCTAGATTAAATAATGTGTAAAAATATAAACAACATTACTTTTATTTAAAAAAATTAAAGGTAATTAACATTTTCAAAATAAATTCGATAAAAACTTGCAAAGGATTAGATCACCTTTATAATTGCAATTATTATTGGGATACTTTTGTTTATAAAATTAATACATAATAATATGTAGTTATTAAATTCTAACCAATGCACAATCCATGCACATCAATGTTTAAGTTAAATACTAAATTATATTTAACACCAGCAATGCAGCATTAGTTTAAAAATGTATGGTTCATCAATTAAAATATAGTATGTTAAAAAAAAGAAAATTACAAAATCCTCGTATTTTCGTATACATAAGATACAAAATATTAAATAGATAATATATATCTGTAATTCAGTATAACGATAGTATATCAATGTATTATTAATTTCATAAAATAGGTTAATAACAAATGTGATATATTTCTTAATTTAAAACCATACACTTTCAAAATTAAAATTTATTATTATTACAATATTATAATGATAATTTAAACATTATTTTAATGTTTATAATAAAAACTTAACCTGACAAAATAAAGGTATATACTATATGATAGCAGTTCTCAACCATAGGGTCGCTACCTAATTTTGGGTGAGGAATAATTTAGAATGGGCCGATCAAAAAAGATAAGTTACAAAAAATGTTATTAATATAATTAAAACAATTAGACAAAAATAAATGAACAATAAGTTTCCTTAAGCTATGGTAATTGAAAAAATAAAGGTGGTGGGAGGTGGTGGGTAACTATTGAGCATTATTTTCAAAAAGGATTGAAAATTGGGTAAATATCTCGGGTTGCCAATACACAAAGGTTGAGAACCACTGCTATATACTGTTATTTATTTGTTTATGAGCATACATATAGTAAAAATTGCGTTTATTACCTATTAACTACAATATTAACTGTTTTAGGAATTTTTCATTGCACATCAATTTTGTTGTTATATTCTAGTTCACAGCATTAAATTATTCAGTTGTTAATTATGATACAAATTTACAAGCATTAAATCCATAGAGCAGAAATGAATTTGATTGTAATTTGATTTTGCTGCATTGCTTTACATACATTTTTACCATTGATATAATTTACTGTCAACAAAACTAATGGTCTTATACCAAGTTACATTTATAAAAAAAAATTTAAGTACCTATATGAATTTCTGATGTTAAGTAGCAATGGATTTAAATACTTACATACAAAATACATTTTTACAAAATAATTTAATTAAAAAATAATTATTATGAAAGTGGGCAGGTTGATTTCTAATAATTTATTTATTAAACGTTTGTCATTTCAAAATTTGATATTACATGCATAGCGAATAATTATTTAATCTAGATTGGTATAATGATATTGAACTATAGAAGCAAAAATAGCTTATAAAATAATGTATATTATTATGTGTAATTAGATGGATTATTTTATTTTGGCACTTAGCTAAAATCAAAAAAAGTATCAGTACAACAGATAAAGTCTCTTCGTTATATTATAGAGCATGGACAATTGGAATGTACCAGTTTTGATGAAGGTTTAGATACTTGCAAAATATCATACATTAATGGACATTTGTGTACAAATTATCACAATAACATCATGATGTATTTAATTGTTTTCTGGCGAATCCCATTTTAAATGTACTTGAGGTGTTAAATTAACGATTTCCACATGTACGGCTTGGCACTTTTCTAGTTTTGGAGGAATAGGGCATAAGCGATAATGTACTGTATCGCCGGGTAACGGAACAAATTCTCCTTCAATACTAAAACAAAAAACAACACGCCATTAGTCACAAGCCTAAGTAAATATTATCACCAGAACCACATGTCTTACTCTGATATGTGTACAAACGTGTCCGGATCACCATTGTCTGGAGTGATAAAGCCGTGTCCTTTAGATTTGCAAAAGTATTTGACCTTTCCGGATATCTGTGGATTCTTGAGAGCTAGAGCGGACCTACACACAACAATGGAAATCGAAAATTAATGGTAAATAATATTATAACACTTGCATTGGGACCAAGAGAAATGACTAAAGCATTGTTTAAACGCATTGATCAAATGACAACATGTCGTAACGAGTGTATTTCATCGGCGATACAATGTCCACATCGCCTTTGTGCATTAATGTCAAAGGCAAATGTCAATGTTATAATATTAATTGTAATTATTGTGCTCACGTTGAATCGGTCCTCGTCCGTCTCGTCACTATCGGGCTCGGGGCGAGCATTCCAATCTTGGTCGGCGAAAGGTGACTGGCGAACTTCAACGCTTCCTGTTCACATCCGTTGGAGAACGATTCGCTCATGGTGCTCAGGCCTCAAATGGACGCGGTGTACCGGTGTATGGTTTACACGATGGATGATGGTATTACGTTAAGACGACAAACAATAATTAATGATTGGTATTATTGTGTAGTGCGAGGAATAACGACGAAACTAGTCTGAAAATCAAAACTTTCCAGTCGTCGTGCAACGATCGTTGTTGTAAGTTATAAAGTCGTAACTTGTAAGCGTTTCGTCAACCTGATGATAAACACTTAACGCGGTGTGGCGTGTGTATGTAGTATTAACTATAATAATAATAATAATAATATTGTTGTACTAACGTTATTACGTGCTATAGCAATTATTATTATTATTTTTTTTTTTATTGATAAGTAAAAACCGAGTCTCGCGCTTCAGTAATGCCAACGTAAGCAACAACGAAAAAAAAAGGCCAAATAATATTATTGTGTTAAAAGACACAATAACGTAACATCACAACTTACAAGTAATTAGTTATCTCCTATACCGTGAGACCATTAAAAAAAACACCTATTAGGCTATAATATTTCTATTATGTTATCCGATAGGTACGTATAACGTTAATAGCTATATTATGACAACAAATTTATGCATTCGATTTGAATTGCAAACTACAATATTGTAGTAATTATTTATAGTAAAATATCTATTTAGTACCTACCTATATCAACGTCCTATATTAGGTATAATATTAATTGTGTTTTGCGATGTGCCGGAATTGTTGTTAATTTATTCTAATACGTTGTACGCATACTCCATGCGACATGCGCACATGCACGTATTAGTATTTATGTAGTATAGGTAGGTATTATCATTGATTATAAAATATAAATTAGTATAGGTATTTATAAATTATAATCAATGGTATTATGACGTATTGACGTGTACAATAGTGTAAATTAAAATATATATATTATATTAGATAGTAAATTCTGAGCGAAACTCGTATTGATTTTATAATGAAGCTTGTTTTTTAATTATAGGTTTTATTTGTGTGCCCAGTGGTGGTACAATACGAGGCGGGGTCCAGGGGACCATGGAAAATGTATTACGTGGTTCTAACAGCCAAATTTTAACTACAAAACAATTTGCAAATCTTCATGATAATATTATGAGATTGTCGATTTTTTGCCAAAATTTGAACTTCAAACGTTTATAAAAATTAATTATGAGTACGTATTATTCGATATTTGTAAACTGCTGTAAGAACAATAATTATCTGGGATCTTGTATTAATATTATTCAAGCTTTTTGGCCAATCATACTTAACGTTTTTTTATCAATAATTATAATAGGCTATAGTAAAAAAAAGGTGTAAATTACGTAGGTAACTGCAGCTCTGCTGCACGCCTGCATAGTGACTAGTAAGACTGTCGAGTCGAGTCGATTGCAACTCATCATTGAGTATATTAGTATATAGGTCACAATAATGGATGTATTAATTAATACGAATTCAAAGATCAATCATTGCATACTAAAAACAATTAAAGCTGAGACGGTCTGTCAGCCTATTATTATTTAATATATAAATATATTGCGGTTATAATTATTATTATAGTATTATACGGTTTACACAATGTCATAAGGCCATCAATCATCATACAAATATAAAACTCATCTAAATGTTTTAAAAATATAATTGTGTACGTAAAATAAAATATAAATAGTAATATACGTATGAAAAAGTTTCAAATTTCCGCTAAAAATGTTTTTGAATTACAATAAAATAATTAAAATCGTTATTATTAATAGTTAAAATGTTGAATTTTGTCAAACTTTTGTCAACAAATGTCTATAAATCAAGTTTATATATTTTTTAGAATTTTTAGATCCAGATCTACTTATGAGAATCCTTGTATTTAAAATGTTAAATGTATATATAGAATATTATACTATATAAAATAAATCAAAATAACTAGAAAATTGTATATTATCATAAATAGGAAATGCTAAATTAAACATTTGGTGAAAATGTCAAGTGTCTGTATCTGGTTATTCGTTTTTGGTTTACAACAAAATGAGAAAACTGTTTAATGATAGAATTCATTATTTTATGCTTAAATATCCAATTTCCTTAAAATGTCAACTTTAGAGTCTCATAAATCATATTTGTGGTCTGTGGAGTTACTAACTAATCACTAACTTTTTTTTTTAATTCTAGTATTAAAATGTACGAGGAAGCTTGTATTTTCTAGATTTTTAACTGAGCAAACATTTTTTTTTGGGGATTAGGCATTGAATGAAAACTAAAAAGAAATCGACTAATTCCGAACCTATAATCGGAGTCGATACCTATAATAAATAACTCAAAAACAGTCAAATTAATTTATTTCAAAAACTATTCCATGTTTATAAAAAGATATTATAAATATTTGGTTCAATTTTCAAGTACATATAAATTATATGTATTATTATTACATATAATTATTACATATATCTAAGGCGGTTACGCCTTGTTGGTTATTACTTATTCGTTTCAGAAAATTACTGTGGTGGATAATGCTGACAAAAAAGTTATCAATTATCATGTACCTACATTTAGTGAAAATTAATTAAACTCTTAATCTAACCTACAAAATTATCTTAACCTCATGTTCAAGTGGTGTACCAAATGGCGAATTAAAATCAACCAACATAAGTCAATCTACACCACGTTCACACTAAAACAGGGTATCTGCAGTTTACTGTAACTGTTACTCTAAATACCATCCAGATTCCCATTCCCAATACGGTTAATATAAGTCTAAGTACTTGGCACTCAACCTATAAACAGTCGCTCAGTCCACTTTTATTTAAAAATTTTAGCACCAATCTTAATACTAAAGAAGGTAAATATATAAAACTCTCCTCAGGCCTATTTAGACTTATGAACTACAACAGCTCTGGCACACAGCAAAAAAAAGTCTCTCCAAAGCCCCACCATATATATTTTTTTTTTCACAAAATTGAATTTGGTTTTTGGCGTAACTTTCAAAAAAATTACCGTAGATACATGACATTTTCACTGGTTGTTTATATTTGCATTTTCTATACACGATAACAATTTCAAAATATTTTGATTTATTTTGAACTGTTTAGGGACATTTTCATTTTCCATTTTTTTTTAGTTTTTTTCTAGAAATATCAATAAAATATTTGTTGGTTAAAAAAGCTTGAATATTTAATAGAAGGCTCCTACTATATTGTTTCAAAGACAGATGAAAAAAATTAAAAATCCATAGTCACAATTTTTTTTATAAGCATTTAAAGTTCAAATATTGACAAAATACGTAAAAATGACGAAAACTTGCAAATTATTTTGAGTTAAGAATTCGTAAAAATTTTTCTTTTTAAATCTAAGATTTTAAAATGTAATACAAGATTCCTTATAAGATTAACTACCTTTATCAAAAAAAAAAATGTCTATAAGAAAGTCAAATTAAATTTTTATGAGCGTTTGAAATTCAAATATTTACAACATTGGATATTCACTCGATTTCTCATGTAGCGATTTCCTAATTTGGAATTCATTATAGGTCAATTTTTTTCAATACCATAGATAAGTATATAATATGTCTTATACCTAGAACTTAGAAGGACATACCGTCTCCGCTCAGAATCGTTTTTCTTATACAAAGATATAATATCATTGAATTCAAATGTAATACCATCCATTATACAGTGACCCACTTGTAACCTACTGTACAGCAGAGCGACACCCACTTGCCCACCTTTTTTTCATATAATTTTGTTTTTTAATATTTCTATTCTACTGGTATTTTATTTATTTTTTTGTAATGAATTTATTTTTAAATCAGTATTGACTTGAAATTCCATTAGTATTTGAATAATTTGGAGAATGTGGCGTTTGTTTCTCTGGCTCACTAGCAAATAATTCTGGCCAAAATCATCATTAGAATCAATATGATTTTTTAATATATAGTCTGGAAAATCCATACTTATATTACAATAAGGAGCTATTGAAATTATTTCAGTAAATGCGTCCGGAACTTCATTGGAGTTTAAATACTTGAAATTAGGTAAACCGAAAAAGTGTTTTAGCCACTTTCCAATTTCAAAACCATTTTTCGAGTATTCTTTTAATAATACTTTATTTTTTTCAAACGTCTGAAACAAATTTGTCCTTTATCAGTTGATATTAATGTAATATTGATCGTGTATGGACAGTTTAAGATACCCTGTACACCCAAAACTGTACCTACCAGCTGGTTTTCACTGTTCACTATTTTGTGCGCAAACGAGTTGTCGTAAATTTAAAATATATATTAATATGACGTGCACAAACGAGTCTTTACCTAATTTTGGGTATTAAATAATTTGAAATTATCATAGCAACAAAAAAAAGGACCTGCTAAATCTGGATACAAATTGTTCGTAAGGTTGCCCTTAGCAACTGAAGCATAATATAATATTAATTATGTAGCTGAAGTAACCTCTTTGATACATGTTTTTAAAATCATAATTCATAATTATTTTTAAAACATCTATTATTCAATTTTTTTTCGACGCAGCTGAGAAAATGTCAAGTGGAGCTCTATATATTTTTCTTAAACTATCAATCCATTAGTTTTTTACATACATTTTTAATCAGATAATCGAAATTATTTGCGTGACTTTTGTTCACTTTATGATAAGTTTGGACTTTTGGAGAACTTTTGTTACTGTAATGGTCTAACTCCTAGGCCTAAAGATTTTTATTAATAATTATGTACCTATATATGAAGGGGCTAGTGAATGAAGGTGTTAACTCACAATTTTGAAATTATTTAGGAGGACAGTTTTAGTGGCTTAATTATATAAACGTTTGGAACTTTTTAACTATTCAAATGCTAAGAAATGTTTGAAAACAAAAATGATGTATTTTAAAGTCATAAACTGCAGTACTCTGAAATTTTATAAATTTATTTATAAATTTTACCTGTTAATAAAATAATAGGGGATTAATACAATAACACCTTAATCCACAAAACAAGAACGACAGATTGTATAAATAACACCTTTATCAATTTGATATATCCACAAATATAAGTTATTTTGTTCTAATATTTGTACCTATAGCCTATGTAATACGTCATGATGCATATCATTTTATGCAATAAAAACGATTTTGAAAAAGTGTTAATTAACACTTTCATCCATTAACCCTTTCATATATTTAATTGAATAACAACTCAGAATGTAAAACTTTTAAATACCGGCATATTGTATTATACTTCTTAAATTTCACACTTCAGTTTAGTGGATGAACCAATGTTTTACAGCAATAATAATTGAGTGATCACACGATTAAGGTCGGTGTACATGAATACGGAATTTTTTTGTTTAACGATTTGGGTGGTTAAGTTGAACGTATCAAAGTAGGCACACGTACTTATTAAAATAATTAAACAATAGATTATTTGTAATTCGAATCATAAGAGGAATATAATACATAGTATATTATAATCTGAGATATTATAAGCTATTAATGTATAATGTACTTCTAAGTGTAACTAGAAGATTAAGACAGAAAGATACGAGAAGATACAATTTTTATTAGTTATCGAAAATGAATTATATGTATACAACTGTTATAATGTATGCAGACATCATAATAATTATATTAAATAATACTATCTTATCGAGTTCTATAAATTAATTTAAAATGAGTGTACACTGTACATTGAAGTGAGCCGATTATACATTAATAACTACCTAGGTACTGTGATTTTCTTGACATTGTTGTTTTCTTCAATCTTTTTGTTTTAAGTACCTACCTCAGATATCTATTCAAAATTGTTTGGAGTCCCCTTCCCCTACAAACATTTTTACATGTATAAATATTTTCTATTACTTATTACATGCATTTATTTACAATAAATTGTTAACGACTGCAATTATGCTAATATTCTTCAAGTCTTAATACTATTATATTATATTAGTGAGTATTTATGTTTTTTTTATTAATAGTGTTATTTTAGTTTACTTACGATATAATTAAGGATTACGAATAGGTTATATCTACTAAAAATTTACCTACGCCTAAACTGTTGTGTGAATTAATTTTAAAGTTAACTATTTTAGATTCTGAGCGGAGCGATGAATGTATTGGTTTTACAATGATGTATGTTTTTATATTTTTATATTTTTATATTTTTTTTTGTGTCTGTCATCACGTTTTGGGACAGTAAAAGTGCTTCGATTTTCTTCAATAGTACCTTTTCTGATAGGAAAGTGAATCTAGTTGGTACTTTGGGGGGTCAAAAGTAAACATTTTCCAGTAGTTTTCACAAGCGCCGGGAAAAAACAACATAAAAATTAAGGAAAAACGGGAATTTTTACGCAAAATCGATTTTCCAAAAAATCGAATTTGGTTATTGGTGTAACTTTAAAACAAATGACCGTAGATACATGAAATTTTCACTGGTTGTTTATATTTGCATTTTCTATACACGATAACATTTTCAAAATATTTTGATTTATTTTGAACTGTTTAGGGACATTTTCATTTTTCATTTTATTTTAGTTTTTTTTCTAGAAATATCAATAAAATTTAATTTGTTGGTTGCGAAAGCTTGAAAATTTAATAGAAGGCTCCTAATATGTTGTTTCAAAGGCAGATGAAAAATATTAAAAATCCTTAGTCACAATTTTTTTTTATAAGCATTTAAAGTTCAAAAATTGACAAAATATGGAAAAATCACGAAAATTAGCAAATTATTTTGAGTTAAGAATTCGTAAAAATTTTTCTTTTTAAATCTAAGATTTGAAAATGAAACACAAGATTCCTTATAAGATTATCTACCTTTATCAATAAAAAAATCTCTACCGGACAGTCAAATTAAATTTTTATGAGCGTTTGAAATTCAAATTTTTACAACATTGGATTTTCACTCGATTTCTCATGTAGCGATTTCCTTATTTTGTTGTAATTCAAAAACGAATAACTGTAGATACATGAAAATTTCACTGAATGTTTATATTAGCATTTCATATACACCATACAATTTTGAAAATATTTTGACTCTTTTTGAGCTGTTTATGGACATTTACAGCTTTCAATTTTTTTTAGTTTTTTTTTCTATAAATATCAATAAAGTTTTATCTGTTGGGCCAAAAAGTGTAAAAATTTAATACAAGGCTCCTGATATATTGTTACAATATCAGTTGAAAAATATTAAAAATACATAGGCACGATTTTTTTTTATAAGCATTTAAAGTTGGAATTTTGACAAAATTTATCAAAATCTCGAAAATTATCAATCGTTGGAATTAAAAAATTATAAAATGTTCAGTTTTTATAACTAAGAGTTGAAAATTTAAAACAAAGATTCTCTTAAATAATTCATACTGTAACCAAAAAATCTAAAAAATATATAAACACACTTATTTTTTACAGACATTTTAATTTCAAATTTAGACAAAATTTCATATTTAAACCAAGAATTACGATTTTAGTTATTTTGTTGTGATTGAATAATATTATTCGTGGGTACTTGAAACTTCTAAAGTGTACTATTATATATCTATGACAGTATCACGGTTTTTGTTGATGTATAACGCGTTATAACTGTTATAAGTATCTAATGGATATTGTGATATGATTAATTTGGAATTTATTATAGGTCAATTTTTTGTTTAATACCATAGATATGTATATAATATGTCTTAAACATAGACTGACATACCGTCACCGCTCAGAATCGTTTTTCTTATACAATGATATTATATCATTGAATTCAAATTTAATACCATCCATTATACAGTGACCCACTTGTAACCTACTGTACAGCAGAGCGACACCCACTTGCCCACCTTTTTTTTTTATTTATAATCAAATACAGTGAAACTTCCATATAACGAAGTTGAATAAGCAGCAAAAAAAATTCGTTATATAGAGGAATGCGTTAAATAGAATTACGTATTTTTTTCAACTTTTTTTTATTATTTTTTTATTATGTATATTGTATGTATGTATGTATGTATGTATTGTAACCCTAAATATAATTTAAAAGAAATAATCAGTAAGTTTTGTTTGCTTATTATTTTTGAAAATTGTCCTTCTTTCGTAAAAAGTGTTTAATATGTCTTCTTCTGTGAGTTTGGATTGTTCTATTGCATGTTCCTCTTCGTCGTCTTCTTCTTCAAATTCATCAGGATTTTCTTTTTTTCTAACCTCTTCTACAATACTTTCTTCAGTAGATGATTCATATACGGCGATAACTTCATCAATTTTCAAATAATCTTGTAAAGTAACGCAATCGCAATGAACTAACTCCCTGAAGTGTACTACAGTAAAATTAATCAGCTTGCCTAACTTCGGTGTCTTATCTTTATCGGGTACATTGTTCATGTACAATTTTAGAACTATGACATAAACTATCAATTTGATAGTGACAACATTTACAAAAATTGGTTTTTATCGAATAATTATTTCGTTATATAGAAACATCAGATTCGTTATTTGGAGATAAATTTACGTGTAATTAACAATGAAGGTCATAGTTCTTAAAAATATTTCGTTAAACAGAAAATTTCGTTAAATGGAAGTTCGTTATATGGAAGTTTCACTGTATAATATAACTTAATTCTTTATAATCTGAATTTTTAGTAACTATAACTATTGTTATCAATTCCATAACTCCAGAAAACAGGTATTTTAATAAGGCTTAGGTTTTGGTTATTTGAAAATATTTAATTTAGATCTCATAATGTTATAACTTAAAGTTACTTATCTAATATTTGTTGGGTTTTCACTCTTCAGAATAAAGTCGGTTAGGTATACTAAACATATTCTTAAATTTGATTTTTAAAGCATAATATTTTATTATTTTAATACTGATATTCAATTTCAATCTGAATTGACTAAGTTTGTTGCAAGGATCAACTATTTTTAAACCTGTTTTACAAATATTATAATTATAGATGCTAAAATTTACATTTGAATAATGCACAATATTTGTTCTTTTTCAAACGTATTTTTCTACCACTATTTAAAGTAAAATGAAAATTTTCCTCTGAGCTGACCTGAAAAATGTTTTCTTCTTTTAAATAAAAAACAAATTAACGAAATCCGAATATTCCACAGGTGCGAGAGTTTTTCCTGTAAAGTCATTTTCGTTCATATAATACACAGTATCAACCCCTCCCCCCTAAATAGGTATCGAGCTGTAGATTAGTGGACAATTATTATAATTAAGGTAGTAAATAAAATATAAGATATAATTATCAAATTTTATATAGATTTCGGAAAATTGGAAAACTGGCACCGACACTCTTAACGTACTTCGTTGCTTCACCAGAGTTACAAAAAAAACTAAAAAGTAATAATTTTGAAGTTATATTATAACTAGGCTGTACCTATATAAATTAATTTAAAGTAGGTACCTAATTGAATAATAACAAAACAATAATTCTATAGTATAAATGTGCTATTGTTAATTATTATTATTACGTTGTCAATATATTATAAGCTAGGGATGTCATAGACTTCTTAGAGAAATGTGGAAATATAACTGTGGAAATATGATTCTGGTAGACGATTGGGATATTATAAAAATTATAAAAACCAAAAGCTTTACTGAAAATGTTCAGATGGTGATACAGACTTTGATAAATCTAAGTGGGTTAAAGGCCTAATAAGTGATGATGTAATTTAATTATACGCACAAAATATTAAAATAATAACAACTAATTATTCTTTTATATAATATTAAAAATAATTAATAATTATAATTGTAATTGTATGTTAATAACCCGACATTCATTGTACAACCCAATCCCTATATGGCATACTTTGTTTTTGTCAATTTAAGTGAGATATTTGAAATTGTTTACATTAATACATTTCAAGAACGAATTAATATTATTATTGTGAGTACTTAGGTACTGCCGTACTGGCTACATAATTTTCTCAATTTTTCCTACATTTACCCAATCAATCGTAACACGATTGTGAGTCAACTATATATTTGTATATACTTAGTACTTACTTCATAATATACATTAAAATTGTCGTATCCATATATTATTATATAAATTTGTGAATATGATTTTTCAAACAGCGAGGGATGTTATTTATTTATTCTGATATTTTTTACAGATCATCATAATGTAGACATTAAAATTTCAATCATTTACATTCAACTTTGTAGATAGCATATTCTATTTTTATTAATTAGAACGCAATAATAAATTGTTGTATTTTAACATTTTAAACATTTTAATAACTGAGAAATTAGTCGTTCACATATTTTGAATTAGGTACTTTCATAACCTACCTATATCAAATTGTAAAAAAAAAAAAAATAATAAGCCCCCACCCAGTAGTATACGTTACTCGATATTTTTTTCTTCAAGGAAATTCTATGAATTCTAAACAGGTATATTTTTGTTAATGAGTAACCATGGCAACGAACTAAGACTAACCGTATGAAATTTGGCGTAGCTTGTTAGGAATAAAAAATTTTATTTATACCAAAAAGTGTAGAAACATATTTATGTTAAAATTATCTATTATACAGTAAAAAAAGGTGGGTTCTCATTTGAGAAACAGATATTTGTTTCACCACAGGACACTAATAGTACCTACGTAGTACAAAAACATCTCAATAATTTGAATATATTGTCTTTAAGTATACCTATTTAAAAATTGTAAAAATCAGAGTTTTAATAAATTAAAGGAAATCACAAAACGAGGATTAACATGCTTGGTGAATCAAGCCCTTCAATCTGTATAGTAGTTTAATTAGACAACGAAACGTCGTGTTTTTTATGTTCACTATCATCAGCTGTCACCAGTGTCAGTATATCACCACCACACATAAATAATTTTTTTAAATCATATAAGTTAATCTCCTGCTTAAAATATACTTAATGACGATTAATAACTTCTTATAATTTAATTCTCACTAGTCTTTACACACTCGTTTAGAATAGGTACTATTAATTGATTTATCCAGAAAGCCAATATTTGTCAGAATGTCATAGATAATAAAGATATGGATAGGCCGCGGTGGAAGCATACACGCAAATAGGGGGGGGGCATTAGGAGCTAAGGCTATCTAAAAATGTCCATAGCCCTCCCAAACATTTCCTACATTTTGTTTTAAGATTATTCAATATTATCAAAGTGAGGCGTTAACCCCCTCAAATGCTATTTGCGCCTATGAGGGGAAGGCATTTGAGGCCCTTTTATATTGATATTCGATTTCGAATTTAATATACTTATTTTGCCTCAATTAGACCCCTTAATTACCGCTGATACTTCTATTATGTGCTATCCATAATCCATATATTATCTTATTATCTATGGGAATGTTAAATAATGAAGTTTTAAAGATTTTTATACGTGTAGGTATTGTTTAAATAATGTATTACAGTATTACATTTTGTAACGTATTTTAGTAGTTCTAATTTAAATCTGTACAGAAATATCGGAGAGTCAAAAAAGTGTTGATTAGTAATTAATTATTTTAGTTTTTAGGTAATATGGTAAGATAATATTATATAAAATAGATTCATTCAATTTCTAGCTCAGCGAACTTATACCAGGCACGACACTAGAATTTTTTTCCAGGGGGGCAGAGTGGGGCAAATATTTTTTTTACATGGGCTAAAATTGTTTCAACAAATGCTGAGGTTATTTAATGAAATATAAATATTTTCGTATCATAGAACCTATATAGCTATTAGCTATATAGTACATACGTTTTATATTGTATGCTCTAAACGTCTAAACATAATATTTACAAACTTTTGAATAGTTAAAAATGTTTTAAGAATAATATCAAATATTTTTTTGTACCTTTTGTAATATGTAAGAAATGTGTTAATCACAGACCTAAGACCTTCAACAACTATATTCATAATGATAACATGATATACAAAAATAATAATTTCTTTATGAGCTAAATATTGATTTTTATACAATATCTGTTTATGCACCATACAGTAAAATAGTAAATGATTGAAAATCTTATAATATTGTAAAAGTTAACAAAAATGTATACAATTGCACTGATATCAGTAGGAATACAATTTGTTTTAAATAAAAACTTTTGATTACCTACCTTATTTTAACTAGTACATTTTAAATTTTAAATTCAATACATTTTAAATTGGTATTTGCATAGTAGTGTATGTATTGACTATTGAAGTACCTACTTTATATTTTTGTTAAATTTTTGAGGTTAAAATAGTTCATATATACAAGGTTATATACAAGGCATATATACATTGGCATGTATATGTTACGGTCAATGACGAAAATGATGATTTTACGTTAAACACCGGCCAATGTCGAAAATGATCTTGTACAATACAAATTGACGTAAATGACCAGTCATTTACGTAATTGGCGACACATATTGGTTAATGTTGTAAACACGGGTATTATTTTATTATTCACGTCAATTCCCAACTTCTTCTGGACGTTGTTGTAAATTATACATTTAAACATTTATAACATACAGGCCACTGTCATCAATTATCTATCCGGACACGTTACTACTTTAGTATGTAATGTTATCGAACAAATTATCAAAGGTAGGTAATTTATTTATTGGATTTTTTCCCCATAACGTAGATTTTAACAATTTCAAGTATCGTTGGCAGACATCGCTTGATTCGCAGTTCAACCCAGTTTCACGTTTATGCATTTTAAAATATTTATTCTTTATTTACTTAAAATATTAAGTATGGATGTAGATACTATGCGTAGTAAATTCGACGATTTATTTGTGAAAATAAATATTAATAATAAATATAATATATAATTAATAATAAAATAAATTATAATATAACTAGTAAAACTGTGGTCTGTACTTAGTTAAATTAATGTGTATTTTCAGTCATTTACCGTAATTGACTACAGTCAATTTTTAATAACGTAATATTCGGTCATTGTGTTAAAATTGATTTATTTGTTTTTTAATTTACAACAAATTCTATTATCTTGGAACTGACGTTATTGCCCGGTAGCTACGAAAATACCTAGGCAACTTGGTTTCTGACGTTAATGACCGTTAATAACGTAATGTTCAGTTTTCGTCATTGACCGTAACATATACATTAAAACATAGATACTTTAAGAAATCCTTTTTTATTAATTATCAAGTAATATGTGAACTAATTACCATGACAAATAAGATTATAAAAATAACAAAATAAGAAAATTGAATAAATTATTTAATTATTTAAATAAGAAATTGTCATGCTAATTACTAAACTATATAAGTAGGTAGGTACGAATACCAACTCCTTACACAATGGTATTGTGTTAATCAAACATAAACATATTTAAAATAATAAGTCAACTAAAAATATTTTTAACTGTATACAACAAACATTAATTATATCGTACATATTTTTCAGTGGGGGGGCTGGCGAGGGGGGCTGATCTGTTTTCCTGGGGGGGCTAGAGCCCCCCCCCTTGCCCCCCCCTTGCGCCGTGCCTGACTTATACATGTAACCATGTAAGGTTCATAGAGTTGTTTTTTATACCTATTAATTATCTACTTTTTATAGATTGTATTATTATGATTTTTACTAAACAAATGCATATTATGTAATATGTATCTATACTTATGTAAATATTTCATATAATAGTATTTTCTAAGTTAATAGAAAAATATTATTTATATTATTATTAAATATTATTTTTAGTAATTCACAGATAAAAATAAAATAGACCGATAACATATTCTGTGAACATTTTACATTCCACCATTCCGGTCATTCCAGATGTTACAATTTATATCTTTGTATATATTATTATGTACTTATGGCCAAAACCATCGGCCAATATATATGCGGCAATAGTAAAATTATTATCCAGTGGTTAATATGGTTTAGTTGTTTTACAACACAAAACGGACACGGTTGTGTCGAAACTTGTGATTTACTTTATTTCTCCGAGACATGTATCGTGAATTTTATTGTAGTATTTAATGCAAGATGACCGTGAAATGAAATGCCTATATTATTATATTTATAATGAAATTAATTTTGTTGTAATATTTGCAAGTCTTAACATTTATTTTACAAGGTATTATAATGTGTGACGTATTTTAGGTGCTGTCGTGTTGAAAGTATTTGCGACATTCGAAATTAAAAATGGGTATGTATGAAATTTTATTGTATCTTCTATACCTAATATTATATTTTGTAATACTAGTTTATATTTTATAGAATTATAAGTATTTATCGTTATTAATCAACGATAAAATATTACTTAGGTACACTCGTGTATGTTTTAGCCTTTTATATACTATTAATAATTGCAAAAACATTTAAAACACTAAATTGTTGTCTTATTTACACACCCATGTTATTCATATAGGTAGACAGAGATGTACTTAAGTGTCAGTGTACATTTTCGTATTAAGTATGTACGATAATCTTATTTACTTAGCAATGTTTTCTGGTTAACGTCAAGTTCTCGCAATCTCTCGTCTCGTATAATATAATATATATTTAATCAGTTTAATCATTAAACATTTTCATAATATTGTATTTCAGTGTAAATTATATTTTTTTATAACATACCTAGTTCTAGACAGAAATGTCTAGTTCTAAAACAGATAAATTATCATTATACCAAGTACGAATTGCGTTTTAAAACTATAATTCAATTAATGTATAGGTATACAATAATAAGCTTGATAAGTTTCGTGCAATTTTATTTTAATTTCGATAACAATAAATGGTTTAAATTATGAGTATAGGTATATCTAACTAGCGTCTATAGTTATAATTTACATTTTACGGTGTTGATTTGATATTATAAAATTAGAATACAATTCTAGATTCTCCACTCAAGTAAGCAGCCAAAAAAAAATTAAGTATGATGGTCACTGCATACCTACTAGCCCGCAACATCTTCATTTGATTTCTATTGGTAAATAATTAATCCTATATAGATCGTGAATCATCCGTGCCTTTTGTCCAATATTGTTTTGGCTAGGTTTATATAACGAGATGGTTTCCGTTTTAGTAGAAGAATAATTTATTTATTCGATTATTTACTGTTAATTCGTTGTGTTGGTTGTGGTGGGTATAGCCTTCATCGCCGGTCTGACTGTGACTTTACGGATATGTTAAAAATAAATGAAAATGCCTCCATATTTTATTACACATTTGAATTTTAACTGCCAAGTATACAGTATTTTATTCAATTAATAAGCAATATCAGTAATCGTTGACATTGGCTGTAGGTTAAAAAAAAATTGTCGCGTATCTTGGAACATTTTTATACAACTGGTGATGATTTGGTGGTATAGCTTAAACACACATAAAAATAAACTGTTTAAGTGTTAACTGGTGATTATAAATTATTTTCGATAACCACATGTTACGACTATTACGTTTATTTTTATTGCAGTTACAGTGGAAGTAGAAAACTGTAGTAACCAAGAAACTCCTACACCGAACTGTAATTATGTTTCAAATATTAAACAGAACGGTCACAGTATAGAACCCATGAAACAGATTCCTGGCTATTTATCAATTTATGCAGTATTTCAGGTATTCTTATGGAATGTTTATTTATTTATTGAAATATGTCCAAGTTAAGGATATTAATAAAAAACCCTTGTAAAAAATAATTAAATGTAATATTTCCTTTTTGATTTCAGATAATTGGAATATTCCTTATATTATCTGTCTTTTTATGGCTTCAAATTTATCGGACTGGTTTCGGTTTTAGTGGAACAATTCATATATGCAACTGGCACCCTTTATTAATGACAATCACGTTTATTTATTTATTCGCAAATTGTAAGACTTTATATTACAACATTTAATACATTCCTAATTATTTATTAGGATTAGAGGTATTATATTTAAATTAATTAGGTATAACTATATTATATAGGTAACTCAATATGATAATGTTATGACTTGTAGTATAATGTTTCGATGTAAACATTTCAATCATTTGAGATTTCGAACGGACCGCTGAATGTATTTGTTTTACAATAATGTGAGTTTTTTTGTCTATATGATGAGTGATGACAACTGATGAACTGAAAAAATGCTTCAATTTCCAATATTAAGGGTAGTTTCTGCAGGTGAGAAAGTTGACTTTGTTGGTAGTTTGAGAAGTCAAGAGTAAAATTGCACTGCACTTTTATAAATATTCGGTAAAAACTATCAAAAATAGCGAGAAAACGGTGTATTTTAAACTGTGATTCAAAAAGAAATAGTAATAATATAGAGGCTTGATATTTTCATTAAATATTTATTTTAGAATTGTATGATACAATTTTGAATATATTTTGACTTTTCTGGAGTTATTTACAGTCGTATACATTTTTTACTTATTTCATTTGTTTTATCGATTATTGTTTGTATGTCAAAAAGCTTGAAAACTAAATACAAGCTCTTTGAAACGTTTTTCTTACCTACAATTTTTAAAATACCTAACAATTTTATATGGGTTTTAGTTATAATGTTGATTTTAACCACATTTTAAAATTATTTAATTAAAACGTCTCTCTTGAGGTGTGGGTGTTTTTTAATTATAATGTAATTAAACTGTAAAACTTTGAAATATTTAGTTTAATTCTAACCTATTGATACGATGAACCTTGTCTAAAGAACCTACGTAGATATTGATTTATAAATTATTAGAAAGTATAATGTATGGATAATAATATATATTTAGTTATGCGATATTTTGGGCAAAAATTAGTTCATACTTTCATATTACTAATTGAAAAATCAATCAATTGTAATAGGTATATCCTTAAAATATTTATAATATATCTTTTCAGAATAGAGGCTATAATACATCGTCTACTCTCAGAATAGTTTTTCATTTACTTTGATTTATCAATTAATTCAAATTTAACACATTCGAAATGAATCACAGTTGTAATAGTGATTTAGGTATTTAATGATGAGGCACACTTGGAAACCTAGAGCAAGTTACCAGATTTTTTGTTAAAATGCCATAAAAACTATTTTACTTATCCTCTAATATAGTTATACGCGCACACTATTAGTCATACTATTATATTGCACCAATAAAAAAATTGTGTTTTATTAAAATAAAACTTTATTGCATTATGTATTATTTTTTTTTAGCTATCCTCCATTTCAGGAATTTTCGAAATACTACAAAACGAAAATTAAAAATGCAACATGCAACAATTCATAGTTGTATAGTCATATTTGGGGTACTTGGTATATGGACTGGTTTAAATTCAAATTTAATTGCTAATCCACCTATTCCAAAATTTTACAGTTTGCACAGTTGGTTGGGAATTATTACTGTTATAATGTTCCTCTCTCAGGTAAGTTGAATAGAAATTTATTTCTTTTATTAAAAATACTCATATGTAAATAGATCAAAAGTGCTCATATATCACATATTATATTAACAATGAAATATATAGGTACTTACTTAATTTTTTATAGAATATAATTTATTGTGTACTTCTTTTATATATTTTGTAGTTTACAAGTGGATTTATATCATTTCTTTACCCTGAAATAGGGATGAGATATAAAAAAGTTATGATGCCGTATCACGTAATTTTTGGTATACTGACGTTCGTATTATCTATCATAACTTCAGTTCTGGGATTTAGTGAAAAAATCATATTTGCATTGTATGTATTCACTATTAAAAAACATCTGAAGGTGCTTGTAAATATTAATATAATAGAAAAATGTTTTGTATTATTATAGGAACCACCAGTATGAGCATATGCCGACGGAAGGACTATTTTTAAACTTTGTAGGGATAGTATTAATTGTTTACGGTGTATTGGTTATGTACATATTGATCAAACCGGAATATAAAAGATCTTCTAAGCCAGATGACGGAGTGACAAATAATAGGACTTGAACTTAATTTTAATGTTGTGATTTTGTATCTAATTTATTTTCATGAATATACGTACCGAAAAAATGCCTGACAGCGAAAATATATACGGATTGTCCATCTTTTGTTTTTGTTTACATAAACGCAGATCAAAGGTGTAATTAGTAGTATAAAATTTAAAATTTAAAAGAAATTATTAATATTGCATTGAAAATGTATCCAAAGTTGAGTTCGATAAAGTCTACTCTTACTGATAATTGCTTTAAAATTGTTTCGAAGATTGTTTTGAGGAATGTTTTTACGCTTGGGAAATATCTGAGAAAATTGGTTTCCTATGTGGCTATTTAATATGTATAGTACCTATCCTTAAGCATAATGAAAAATTACCAAAAACCGTTCAATATTTTTTTAAGGAATGTCCACAAGATAAATGTAACCTAAGTCCTGGCAAAGAATAGTATTTTTAATGCAATAATTCACGATTGATTTTAAATGTAATAACAAATCCTTTATCAGCTATTTTTATTTTAATCAATTTAAAAACTAGTACCCTAATAATGTTAAAAATAATAATGTTCATCTGTATCATTGAAATAATAAGAAAAGATTTGTGTTTTAAAAAAGTAGGCATACAATTAAAGTTATTAAAAGTAAATAATAAAATGTAGGTGTTTTATAAATACTTATAAATATTTTATAAATAATTTACCGATGATGAGTAGAATTTGTTAAATAATTAACTGTTAAACTAAAAGTATTAATCTGTGTGCTCGTGTACTTTTCAGTTAACTAACTGTATTGTAGTTAGTACGTAAGTAGGTACATAAGTATCACGCACGATTACAATAAATGTATCAACTACCAAGTGACGTTACGTCAGTTTAAAAACAATGTTTTTCATTATGACAATACTGTCTAAGAATTTGGTATTGAAATGTATATGATCCTGTGATGTACTTACACTAGGTTATGCGCTGTACTTAGTGCTATTAGTACTGTGTATTTATTTACATGATTATTAATTAATTATAATACCATATACCTATCGAGTATTGACAGAGTAACCGAGCTCGGCCGACCGCCGGTAGAGTTAAATAGATGACAAAATATCATTTCAAAACACTGCTTGAAACACATACTCACACGCACCCTCCCCCCCCTCACACACAAACACACCACCCACACATTTATGTAAAGGGACATAATACTATTAAGTGCTCTGTGTTGCTCGGCAACCGTTTTGTTGTAGGTGTTGTGTGGACGAGATTCGGGTTGCAGGTATATTATATTATAGTAGGCCTCAATTTTATTCGGAGTTCTCTGCACGCGAACAATAGTCGTGTATCGCGACAACCACGAAAATCCTGATATGATGTAATTTTTATAACATAATATCATTAGTTCATTCATGGGCACTGTCATTGCGGTGGTTTGATGTTCACGTTAAGTTTTCATTCATAGCTAGCGAGTTTGGTTGAAATGTCCAATTTTAAAAAGAATTCAAAGGCCAATAAGCACGTCGTGACTTCCACTGGACTATCTTTGCAGGGCTCTCAAGTACGTACACTGAAATATATAACACTATAATATATTCGTACGATATACCTATACATGTTTTATATTATAGTAATATAGGTAGTTAAGTATTATGTTACATTAAAATATTTATATTTTATAGACGCGTTAATGATTCTCTTAATTGTTTTTTTGCTTATACATCGATGATTAGGTATCTATATTTTAACATATTATGCACATGTAACTCGAGCACTATAAATACAATAAAAACAGAAAAACAGAAAAAAGATATTACTACAACAGTGATTAGGTATATAGAGGATATCGGTGCCGGTTTTTCCAATTTTCCGAAATTCCGAAATTCTAAACAATTTGAATATTATAATGAATTCACAGGGAAAACTATCACGTCCTGTTAAATAGTCGGATTTGTTATTGTTTTTTATTTAAAAAAAAAATTTCATGTCGGATCAAATGCAAAATGTTCATTTTACTTTAAATAGTGGTAGAAAAATACGTTTGAAAAATAACAAATATTATACATTATTGAAATGCATATTTAAGCTTCTATAATTATAATTTTGAAAATCGGACAGTGATCCGACCTGCAAATGTTCTCTTTTTTCAAATAAAAAAAACTAACAAAATTCGACTATTCTACCGGACTTGAGAGTTTTTCCTGTAAGACATGTTTTTGTACTAAAAAACCGTCCCCACGCCCTTAAAGATTAGACTATAAGGGGACAGAGTCCCCGGGAGAATATTATAATTATAAAAAAAGGGGTCTGAGGCCTGAGGGGTTCATATAAAGACTTGGTTAGATTTAGAATATTGGGTTACCGCTATGGAACGGAAAGTTATGAAAGTTAAAATTTAACCAACAGAACAGGTAAGTTAATCCTATTAGGCAGCTACACTTGAAACTCGTAATACCATGACTTATAAGTTATAAGTGCCCGCTTATGTTTGGCCAACGATTTAAATTTAAGATTTCTTGACTATAATATACGGCCATACGGGTGCAATCACAAAGCGACAATTATCTAAAACAAAACCACTGAGCTTCGAAAACGAAAACGTTTGTTGCACTCGGTCAAGTTGGAGGAGTCTCCGCTGATAGTTTGAGGATCCCATAATAAAAGTAAGGACAATGAGGCAGGTTCACAATTTATTCAAATATTGGATAATAAAGTGTTTTTTGCTCGTCGAGACGACTCTCGGTCCTTTCATTAATAGGTACATTTTATTATGTAATATTTATTTATACTTGACATACCTACAGTCTATTGCCTTGAAAATGCTTATTGTCTATTATTATTCTATTTCGGTAACACCATAACTTACAGTAACAGACAAATATCACACAACATATAGTCGTTTGTCTGCTTTTTTTTTAGTACCTATATTATTGTACTACACGCACCCTGTGATTTTATTAGCTCACGCGCGACATATAAAAATGAAGAAGTCTTTTTTTGTATTTATTCCAACATGTGTTCAGTCAAGGAAACGAACCCATCCGGTTAATAATAAATACAATTTAATCAATACATATCGTGGTGGACAGGCAAAGACGTACCTATTATTATAGTCTATTGTCATAGAGTCACACAAAATATTTAGTTTAACACAAAAAATAATACAGAAGTATAATTTTGTATTGGATTTCGATCTCGGAAATAGATGTGGAGTATCTTTAAAATACTTTATTTGTATTTTTGATACCAGTCCTATAAAAATATACAGAGGCCATTAATTTGTTCCACTTTAATAGATAGTTATCATAATATTTAATTATTATATAATTAAATATTTTATATGAGTGAAAATATTATGTCGGATATCATATAGCTATTAGCTATGATTTATCCAATTTCACAATTATAAAAATATAAAATATTTGACTCAAATACAACACATAGGTAGGCATCATTATAGGTACATTTCCCGTTATCGTCACTGAAAAAAGCGTTCTTATATCTCCTTCGACAATGCAAGAAGTACTTGAAGTACAAAACACTCACCTAATGTAATATGGCTTTTTCAGAACCATTGGTATCGATACCAACATTCAAAAATAAGATGAAACAACATGTTAAAAACTTAAAAAATGTAAACCTTCCATTGTACTTAATACCACTATAATATACCGTGTGTCCGCGAAAATAGTAGTGGAGTAATAAGTAATTTATCCTGGGGGGTTATAAATTGTTTACACACAAAATGCTAAGTTTTCAAATTCAGTGGTAAATAGTTTATATATAATATAATGTCTCTGGGGGGGGGATCTATCCCCCTCATACCTCTTAATTATGGCAATGGAATATAGGAGACACTGTATAATTAAATTACCCTTATTACTCAGTACCCTATACAAACTAACTATTTGATTATTAATCCCTCGCAGAATTATAAAATATGAAAATGGTACTGAGTTAGGTACCTAGTTAGGTAACTGAGATAACCCATTTTTCGCTGACATAAGGTATATAGTTGAGCAATTTATAAGCCTTTATTCTCAATAAAAATAAATATAAACATATATTTGAACTAATTCGTTGAAATTTTCGATGAAGGCAGACAATTTTAATTTCTGTAAGACTATGCGTGTGGGCATTTAAATATAGTGTATCCATAAAATATTTTTTTGTAACAATTAATAAACAAAATAAATAAAATACATATTTTGGAAATAATATTTATTATACAATATTTTTAAAATATGTACCTTCACAATAATTAATAGCGATACTATAGTATGCCTGTATATAGTGTATACAGGGCCTAAAGTGCATATATAGGTACCTATACCTATTAAAAGTAATGTCTATAAATAGTAACTACATAAATTTAAGATCTTAAACTACATAACCTAATACATAAATAAACTATAAAAGCTTAGGTATTGCGGTAAGATTAATTGTATAGAAACCATGACATTTTCACATCCACAAACTTTTCTGTTCGTTCAGAGTTGTTGATTTATAAATTATTTTCTCTATCCTGTCATATTATTATTAAATAGTTTGTGCGTGTACCTACTTTGCTAGTCACGCGATGTCTTAAATTTGAATGAATATTAATTTATGCAACAACCATATGTAAGTGTGCGAATGGAGTTTTCACTTGCAATCGTGCCTACTTATATACAATAATGTCAATACGAAACTTTGTATTCCAACAGATACTGAGCATTATTGTTGGTATGTATAGTAAATAGATTTTATTATTTTAATATTTCATAATGATTTCTACAGTATAATTAATACCAAAAATATATAAGTACCTATTTTATATTTATGAATATTATGACTTATAGCTATAGTAAGTATAATAATATTATATTGCTCAAAGTATATAATATATACCTCAATTATATAGCTATATAATATTATACTTCTGATATTGAATATATTGATAACGAGTGTCGAGTAAAGACGCACAATATTTTAAACTCTTTATTTGTATTTTTGTTTTGGCTATAATGTGCGCCTTGTATATACGTTTCTTGATGGCTATAATTATAATGGTTATGGTTTTTTAGTATTATAGGTAATAATTATTGTATAAATATATATTATGTATATAATTGAAAACTAATAATATATTGTTATCTGTAATGTCTACATTATAAAAATCAGGGATTGAAACCGTAAATATTTTTTCCGATTTCGATTTCGGGTTTTCGGTTATCGGTATTTATTTTATTCTATTTTTTTTCGGTTTCGGGATCTATTTCGGGTTTTAACGGTTTTAACCGGTATTCAAAATTGGTATCAAATATCCGGTTTCAAGCTCTTAAACATTAAAGCCTTTAAAAAATAATCTATATTATTATGATATTTTGTTCAGATTAATCTCTCAACCCGTTTATCGAATTTGAACATGTCAAATCCTTTACACTATTTGTACAACGAAAACGTTGATACGCCGTCGCGTGGAAGACCGATGTCTGCAATGACATTGAGTGCTACATATCAGGTTTAATGATTAGATAAAATTATATTTTATATCATTCCTAAAAAAAATATCATTCGTTAATTTAATTATTTTTAGGAATCACCACGTAAGTCAAGACTAGTTAAACGTCCCCAGTCTGCAGATACAATAAATAAGATTAACAAGAGCCGACACATTTCATTTGATTTCAACGATCAACAGATTGACACGGGTAAATATAGAATATCTAAATAAATATATTGGTAATAAAAAAGATGTACTTTATCAAAATATTTGTTGAACGAAATTCGAATGCAATGTTCGTGAATAATCCAACAGTTTTTAGTGATATAGTTAGTGTATTAGTCACTTATTGTCTTTAATTGAACCACTATATTACTTTGAATGAAACGTAATCATATCTGTAAGATAATCATGTGACAATTAAAATTATTTCACTGTAGAAAATATGATTTAACCTCCATTAATAGTCACTAATCAGTAATCACTATTACTATTACGTAGGTATTAAAAGTTAAGGAAAAAAAGTCGCTCTGCTGTACAGTAGGTTACAAGTGGGTCACTGTAATGGATGGTGTTAAATTTGAATTCAATGATATATCATTGTATAAGAAAAACGATTCCGAGCGAAAACGGTCAGTCAGCCTATGATATTACGAAGTATATTTGATGATATTAAGGTGAATAATGTATAATTTATACAAAACCTATTTTTCGTGGAATATTGTTTTAAATGTTCAATCATTAGCTATAAAAGTTGAACATTCTATGAATTTTTAATTACAAAATTATTATTAAATTTTAAATGTAATAAATATGGTAAAAATTTGAACTTAAAATACTTATAAAAAAAATTGTGCACATGTATTTTTAATATTTTTCAACTGCTATTGTAACAATATATCAGGAGCCTTACATTAAATTTTCATGCTTTTTTAACCAACAAATAAAATTTGATTGATATTAATAGAGAAAAAACTAAAAATATTTAAAACTGACAATGTCCGTAAACAGATCAAAGAGAGTCAAATTATTTTCAAAATTGTATGTTGAATAGAAAATGCCAATATGAACCTTCAGTGAAATTTTCAAGTATCTGCAGTCATTCGTTTTTCAATTACAATAAAATAAGAAAATTGTTACCTACATGAGAAATCGAGTGAATATCAAATTTTGTAAAAATATGAATTTCAAACGCTCATAAAAATTTAATTTGAGTTTCTTGTACATTTTTTTTTTTGATAAAGGTAGACAAATTTATGAGAAATCTTGTATTACATTTTCAAATCTTAGAATTAAAAAGAACATTTTTATGAATTTCTAACTCAAAATAATTTGCAAGTTTTCGTCATTTTTACGTATTTTGTCAATATTTGAACTTTAAACGCTTATAAAAAAAATTGTGACTATGGATTTTTAATTTTTTTTATCTGTCTTTGAAACAATATAGTAGGAGCCTTCTATTAAATTTTCAAGCTTTTTAACCAACAAATAAAATTTTATTGATATTTATAGAAAAAAAAATGGAAACTGAAAATTTCCGTAAACAGCTCAAAATAAGTCAAAATAATTGGAAAATGTTATGGTGTATAGAAAATGCTAATTAACATTCAGTCAAAATTTCATGTACCTACGGTCGTTTGTTTTTGAGTTGCACCAAAAACTAAAATCGATTTTTTCGAAAACAGATTTTGAGTTCAAATCCCGGGTTTTCCTTAATTTTTCTTTTGTTTTTCATGGCGCTTTTGAAAACTACTGGAAAACTTTTACTTTTAACCCCCCAAAGTACCAACTAGATTCACTTTCCTCTCAGAAAAGATACTGTTGAAGAAAATCTAAGCACTTTTACTGTCCTAAAAGGAGAAACACACAAAAAAAAAAAAAAAAAAAAAAAAAAAAAAACATCATTGTAAAATCAATACATTCATCGTTTCACTCAGAATTTAATACAAATACAATTATTTCATTCATTATTACCAAATTGTTTAAACTCATTTTATTTTATTATATTTTCAAAGCCAATAATAATAATGAACATTTCAGCCTATAAGTTATAATACTATAATAACTGTACAATCTGGATTTATCACGCGATTCAGCGTGACTGTTCAACTGTCTGTGTGTTTTAAAATCTTTACAATATATTTTATACTTATACATTGGCAAAAGTTTCTATGTTATTGTATACAATACACACGCCACAATGTTATGAAATAGTGTACACGCGGTTGGGAGCATAACAATGTACTCCTATAATAAATGCTAATTATTCAAGTACCAGCATGTTGCACCATTCATTAATAATTATTCATAAATCACAACTGCCAATAACAATTTATAAAAATATACGTTGTCGCGAATTGGACAATTTTGGACAATTTGGTTTGAACTTTGATTTGCAATAACATTAGTTATAATAATAATTGATACTCGCAGGGATCATTATTTCAGTATTAGATTTTGTAATTAATTGCTGTGGCCTCACTAGGCCGCATACACTAGTACCAATACCGCCTATACACTCAGACCTTAAAAGCTCATTGTACACACCCTTTCACCTTAAGTTAACGTCCTGAATACAATTCACATTATAAGAAAACTGACTACACCCTGAGATTTTCAGTATGCAGGGACCATTTCAAAAACCATAATAAACAAAATCAAAGTTTCCATTATATTAAACCATCTCGCAGGTATCGGAAATCGTGTAGATCGGACTGAGAGTGCGTTTGATGAATCGGACGGGGCCGAACTGTCGTCGTCTAGTGACGGCCATTTGACGCCCGTCCCCCCGAATGACGGCACCGGCGATGGCGATGGACAGCCGTCGCTCGAACCAGGTCTGACTTCTAAGCCACCTATACCACCAGGAGGTGGGGAAGCACGCTTGCCGGAAACTTTTAGCCGGGCGGCCAATGGATCAGCGACGTTCGACGATGCGGTGGAGCTGAAATTCCAGCGCTGGTTCCCGAATTCGGCACCGGTCCTGGTTCCTGTGTCAACACCCGCCACAGACGTAGAAAGTGTGGCCAGTTGCGGTAGCGTCAGTGACGGGCGGACCGTGGCGTATTCGAAGAGCAGCAGAGGTCAGCTAGACGAGGAGAACCTGTACTCGAACCTGAGCGCGGCCATAGGTGGTGCGAGCGACAGATTCGGCGGGTCAGTTTCCGTGGACCTGTCGGGGGCGCTCCGGGGTAGCGACGCGGACGGTGACCGAGGCCGGACGCGGTCCATCGTAAAGCCGAAGATCAGGTCAAAGAAGAAGATCGCACCGGTGGTGGCGGCGACGGTCGGCCACAGAGCTAAAAATATAAGGGACACTCTCAAATCGAAGCAGGTCACGGCTCCGGCTGTCCAGCCGGTCGAAGCAGCGGTGACGGCGCGGAACGAGCAACTTTCGGAGAGACAGCCTGCAGAAGTGAGGAGAGAACGTCCCAAGAACGCTGAACGTTCGCCGGTGCAAGATTACGTCAGGGAGGATGTGGTCTCGTGGATGTCTAGTCACTTGCAGAGACCTTCGACACCTGAGTTCAACGGCCATACACTCGTGAGTATCCTAGGTGATCAGTATCCGCAGCGCAGTCTGTTATTTTTAGAAAGCATCGATACGTCTATTTAGTAAACGTTTAATGTAATTTATGTTTAAAGGACGCGTTTTGCAAAGAAAACCATAAGACGTCGACGTACGACGAGATCGTTAACATTCTTAAAGAACTTGAGTCCGAAAATAACGACATCGGTAGTTAGTTTGTAGAATTCGCTTACCTCAAACTTTTTTTGTTATCGTCATACCTACTATCACGTATTATAATACTTAATTATTATTTATTACACTTAAATTTATATATTTTATAACATTATTTTTATATTTGTTGTATAATGATGTATACTGATTTATTGTAGACATGAATGTCAGGAAAAGTGGTGTTACAGATAATAATAAACATCAAACATTAGTACCAGAATCTTCGTCTAGTTCAAAGTTAATATCACTTGGAAATCATTATAAATTTTTGTTTTTTTCTTTCATGATTCCAAATATATATTTTTTAAATGATATTTTTATTTTTGTTTTTTAATGGATTTTTCAAAGGGCATTATGGTCATTTCTGGACGAGGTAGAGAAAAATTCAAATCAACCTACTCCTCCCAAATCACCTAAACAAAAATCGCCCGTACAGTTACCAAACACACCACCACCGTCGTAAGTTTATTTTCTGTCCGCCTAATGTGTGGTATAGATCACTTTTATGTTCAGACCAGGTAAAAAAGTTGTGGATGTAAAAAAGGGAAATCTCCAACAAGTTATGGATCTTGACAAAGCAGAGTTGGCTCAGAAAGTAGCCATGCTTCAAATACAATTATCAGAAAAAGAAGATATAACTGAAAAATTAAAAACTACTATATCTGAACTACAAGCGGAGCACGCTAAAACTAAATCTGAATATGAATCCACTGTTACGAGACACCAAAAATTCATCGATAAAGTAAATAATATTAAAATATTGTGAAATTATTTTGTGTATCAGATTATATTTAAAACATATATTATTTGATTAGTTATTGAACGAGAAAAAACAACTTAGTGAAAGTTGTTCTTTGACTGTAAAGGAACTTACAAAAAAAATGAATGATGCACTATCGAGCCAAGAAGAACGACACAAAGTTGAATTGAAAAAAGCTATAGACAAACAGACAGCATCTGAGAAAATAAAAAAAGATCGGTGGGTTGATCTGAAGACAAAAAAAATCAAAGTAAATAATATATATTTTAATATTTTACTATTTAATGCACTACCACTTAAATGTTACAATTGTTGTGAATACAGGAGATGACGATTAAAGGTATTGAACCTGAACTTAATAGGATGTCTGTAGCATATCAAGAAGAATTATCTGAACTCAGAAGAATTCATCAATCACAAATTGAAGAGATCGAAGCAACATGGCATCGGAGAATGGCAGCCATGAGGGATAAAATGGATGCAGAACGGGAACAAGCAATTGTGACAGAAAGAGAAAACTCAAGAAATCGGTACCTATATTATTACTATTTACACCATAAATTACGTAGGTACCTTCTTATAACTTTATATAATATATATCTGTCACTATTGATAAAATTACCTTATTAATTTATATATTATAAAACAACGGTTTGTAGCGAATAATTAATAATGAAATACGTTTCAATAAAACTGAAATAAAATCCTGAGTTATGTAATGAAAAATTAATTGTTTGTATTTATTAGATAGGAAAAACTACAATTTTTGAAGTAATATAGAAAAAAAATAGCCTTTTGCACTTTATTTTAAAAACAACATTCATTTTTCAGATGACCACCTATATAGTGTAATATATTGATTTACAATTAATAAACTATTGTTTAAAATTAGCTTGGAAATGGAAATCGCTGAACTTGAAAAGAGTTATCAAGATCAACGTAAAAGACTATTAGGCGAAATTCACGGGGAAAGATTACGTCAAGAAAGAGAAAATGACGTGACACTAATGGAAAAGCAAAAAGCCCTTGAACAAAAGTTTGAGAAATTGGTATTAGAGATCCAAGAGAAGATTAATAAAAAAGAGCTAGAATTTCAGGTAGGTAACGTTATTAGTTTTATGGTAATAACTAATAGTTTAAAACCAAAACCAAGGTATTGTTTCTAAAGGTTTAAAAAAATAAAGGCATTGAATTTCAGTGTTATTTGTCTCAGTTTGCCATTTTCAATAAAGGGTGGTGTTGTTAAAATTATATCGAATAATTATTTATCAATTGTATACAAAATATAGTTGTAAACAGAGAACGTTTACTAAAAGAAAAATAAATCTAATATGTATGTATGAAATGTAAGATATTTTATTGACAATACGATGTGCTTTCAGAACGAGTTGAAGACTATTCGAGAAACTTGTGAAACAGATAAGACAAAATGGATACAACATCAAACGGCTGTGTTATCAGATAAGGAAAGTAACATTAAAGAAATGTGCAAAAAAGAGCGAGACAAGCATATTGAATTAGTTGTTCAAAAATTGGAGAACGAAGCTTCTGAAAGAGAAAAAAGTTCAGAAATGAAAATTAAGTAATAATTTATACAATAATAATAATCAAATTATTTAAGAGTCATTATTTACATTTCATCTAGTGTAAACTAGTTTAAACTTTAAATCGTATAATATTTATAAAATTTGTTGCAATTATTATGTGTCTTAACTTTATGTGTGAAAGTAGATTTGGTAATCAAATGTAATTAATTGTGTGATTGTAGACGAATAAAATCTGAGTACGAAGCTGACATTCGAGAACTAGAAAACACCATATCCGGTCATCGTATGAAATTAAACGAAGCTCGTACCAAAGCACAGGAGCAAGAAGATAAAATAGCAGATCTCACTAGTGAATTGAATAAGTGTAATGTTGAACAAGTACGATTACAAGAGGTATATATATTATTTAATTTTATAAATTATGCTAAATGTTAACGTGAAAACGGTCATGATTCTAAATATTCTAATACTTTTTCAGTTGATTTCCAAACTAAAAAATGACCTTACTGCAAATGAAAATATTATAAAAAACGAAGCTGTCACTAAGATCGGAATATTACAGACAGAATTAATTCAATTAAAATTGAGTTTCGAAACTAAAATAAAAACCATTGAAAATGAAAAAGAAAGAGAAATAAATCACGTTTACGTCCGGTATTAGTATAGGTTTTCGATAAAATAAATTTAAGGTTTGCTCATTCGTACGTTATTATTTTAGGGTAAAAGAAGCAATTAAACGAAAAGACGAAACAATTCAGACTTTACAAAGTGAACGAAATGCTGCCTTAGATCAATGCAGTAACATGGAGAGACTCTTGGAACGTCAGAGAAAAGAACTTTTGAAGCTCAAATAATAATTTAATTATTGCTAAGGAAATCTCTAACATTAAATGAATTCATCATTTTTTTTTTTTTTAATAGCTACGCAAATCATTTTTCAAAAATATTCGATAATTTTTTTAAATTAGAATCCTTTGTTATAGTACGTATTGTAATTTATAATCTATATGTATAGTTAATAAAAATGTTGGTATGAGCATATTTATAAATATTAGTTTTTGCCAATATCTATACTCGTATATTAATTATTAGAAAAATTGTTGATACATAATTTGGTAGTCAGGTATGAGGTAAGTTAGATTATACGACAGTTTCAGTTAAAATTAATAATTAAATTTTGTTCTTAGTATTATTTATATCAAAAATGTATACATTTCTGTATTATTATATTTAAATATGAATTTTAAAAATACGTTAATACTAAAATTTGAGATTGAAAGAAGAAATATTTAGTTATGAATATTATTTCTTATATAATAACAATATTTATGTTATAGTATGATGTGATTATAAATTTAATTTTTACTATAAAGAAATCTGTTTAATTTAATTTTTTCTCATTTCATACCTTATCTGCACAATATTGCATAATAATAACTGACATTGGTACCTCAGTGCCGCTTTCAAAGAACCTTATCCACATTTTTACCAGTATTTGTTGGGTCATGTTTCCGGTCCATAATAATTTTTTTTTTATACATTTCAATAAAAAAAATTATAGAAACCCGTCGTTTTGGATTGGAAAACTAACCCTATAAGACTAGTGTTGTATAAGTGTATAACAATAATTATATCTCTGTTATAGCAATTTCGACAATCGGAAAATTAAAATATGTAATACAGCATATTATATTATTATGAACACTAGTTGATCCTCCGCACTTCTTTGCCAGTAAAAAAATTGTGATTGTACAACTTCTTTTGGGTGCAAATCAGCATCTCTGGTAGACAATGCGAGAAAATTTGATTTGATGCATACTTGCACCGATCTACCCGATTAACCAATGACAACCAAATAATAAATACTAATTTCAACTAATTATTTCTCCTATAACCAATATTAACCATTTATGAACAAAAATGTCCACCGTAAATCTTAAAATCCCCGTTTGAGCACTTTCCGGGGTGGGACCAAATATACAAAAAAAAATTTCACCAAAATCGGTTTAGCCGTTTCGGAGGAGTGCGACCACAAACACCATAATATTATACATAATCATATATCATGTTAAATTGAATAATCAGTCATGATGAGTAGAATAATACAATATTACGAGTTTATTTGGATTTCGAGATAAGTAGAAGTCAATTTACAAGAAAATCTGTCCTGGCCGATGAGATCCTTTCAGTGGTTTTGCATCGATATTATACCATTTTGCCATAATATTATATAATCGTGGACGCCTTTAAAACATATAGGTAGAGGCAAAATGTATTTTGGTGTATTGTTAGTAGTGTTTGGTTGCCCCTGATTAGGAGTTTATGGTGAGCCGTCGATTTAGTCAATATTGTTAATATCGTAGGAAATACAAGGTCTTCTGTGGTAAGAGCAGCAAACTGGTTGTGCATGATAACATGTTTTGATTTATATATTTTGTCTGTGTATCGTTGTTATGGAGAATAAAGAGGGTTTAAGATAAGGGACGTTTAATTCCAATATTACTTATGTTATTTTTATTTTGTTTCTTCGTAGTGATGACTTTATTATCCATAATTATAATTTTAAGATACGGTTACAGTCTGTAAAGCGCATATTATTTTTTATTAGTATATTTGCTGAAAGCGATGGTAAAGTCAGAATTTGGCGGTCGGATTTAGTTTTTAAGTCGTAGCTATTTGAAGTACGAAATCCATCCAATGTGGTTTTAAATAACAAGTCGAGGGATATTTTCGATTTTAATTGTCCGAACGAGCGAGTGACCACGCCGGGTGTATATGAAAATACTATAAATTTAAATTAGTTATAACTTTAAAAACCTAAGTCCGACCTCGAAAGTTTGACTTCACCACCGTTTTTAGCATGCTTAACTACATACATTAAATCAAACAAAATTGCATAGAAAATTGTTGATCCAGTAAAACAGTAAAGTTCCATCTATTATTATGTACAGTCCAAAAGTTTCCATGTGTGATGGTGTCTGTGGTTCGTTATCACTTATAAGTTTATAAGACGCGTGTACTGGGTACATATTATATGCGACTCTATACGTTTTTTGATAATTAAAATAAATAAATTAAGTAATGTTTTTTCTATTTGGTGGAGTATTTTTCTGAAGATTGGGCAGGTTAACAAAGTTTGAGTCATATAGATTTTGGTACATTTAACGGGTAACGAAGTACACAGGATCAGATAGTTATTAATAATATTTTATTATATTTATTTTCTTATATAGAACAAATTGACACAAAACAGTGCAGTAGTCAGTTTTTTTTTTTTTAATGAATGGTTAATGGTTATTTCCGGGTAGACAGTTCGCTTTTACGCCGCTTATAGGTTTATGTCCTGTTATACCTCTATTCCGAACTGAAGAATTCTACAACGTATATGCCAATCGACCAGTTACCTAATTTTCTCTACCAAAGCTGAACCTGAAACTGGTCGATTGGCATACACGTTGCAGAATTCTTCAGTTCGGAATAGAGGTATAACAGGACATAAACCTATAAGCGGCGTAAAAGCCAACTGTCTGCGAGGAAATAACCATTAACCATTCATTAAAAAAAAAAACTGACTAGGTACCAGTGGCAGCGTGAACTATTTTATTTTATGAGGCAAGTATAAATGCTCGACCACCACCACCACCTAAATTTCATCACACAGACCCGTGGGGGCAACAAGCCCCCACACCCCCAATTCACAATTCTGCAACGATAATATACTTTGTTGTGTTAATATCAGAAATATAATAAAATTATTATAAAATTAGTATAATTAATAGTGTTAGACATTAGTTGACCATATTTATTTATTTATTTATTTTTTTTTATTAGGGTTAAAGCTTCGACAACTTAGGTCATTAGCCTGTGGTACTGTAGGGGAGGGTACTGTAGATTTGTTACACGTGTGTGTTTGTTTTGGCAGAATTTTTTATTTCGGAATTCGGGCACCCGTAGGTATTTGCCATGCCCGGGTGGGAGATGGCGGCACTTATTCACCTTGACTTGCCCAAAGAAAATTGCCGCCCGCGACCAAGGAATCGAGCTGGCACCGGCTGCGTCGCAACCGACGCCTTAGACCACTCGGCCACTCCGTCCCCTTGACCATATTTCATAGGTGGTTTTTAATATCCGTACCCGGGGGGAGGGTACCACCACCTGATTGGTCGTGAGGCAATTGCCTCATGAAACACCCTATCACGCCGCCACTGCTAGGTACTGCACTGTTTTGTGTCAATTTGTTCTGTATAAAAAAATAAATATAATAAAATATTATTAATAAGTTATTAATAATAACTATCTGATCCCGTGTAGGTACTTATCGTTACCCATTAAATGTACCAAAATCTATATGACTTAAACTTTGTTCGATTCGTTATTTAATATTCAGTGTATGATGTTCAAAATTTATCTTAACTTTTCCGTTGCCCGGAATAATAATAATAATTCTGATTCGCAGCAGTATATTATCAGGTAGGCAATCTACCAGCCGTGGTAGATCGCCGACCCCTTGATGTTTGAACGTAAGTGTATGATTTAACACTAAAGTATCAAAGTTATACCAAGTTTGTTGTATTCCACCTATGGTGGATTAATATAATCAGTTAATACAAAATCCTAACCGTAATAATATCAGATAAATAAAAAAAAACCAAATTTAACCATTTTTAAATTAGCCTGTCTTCTTCCCAGAGGTCTAATCTACACACAAACATTCATTTATTTATATATATATTGACAAAAACAAAATACAAATCAACAAACATGTCCGATTTACCAATAGCAACCAATATACAATACACTAGTATTATTTTAATTTGAAACTAATTTTTTTATTATTTAATTAAATTTTTTCTGGACAGATGGCGCCACTATTGTATTTGTTGACATTCAAATTTTCTATTTTTTCCGGTGGATTTTCCTAAAATTGTCTTTGTCTTTCCAATCTTCTCCAGGCAATTAGGAACATCTAAAAAAAATTTGAGCCAAATCGGTCTGGCCGTTCTCGAGTTTTAGCGAGACAAACGAACAGCAATTCATTTTTATATATAAGATAATTATGATACTTTTTGATACCTACCTAATAACAATAATAAAATAATATCATCTTAATAACACCACTTTCATCAACGCTATTCAACATTTCCTGTTCTGATGTAATCTAAACAAAATATCCGCTGAGTGTGGCATAAATAATTAGTCAGTAATGTGCAAACCGTTACAATGTTTAACCTTAACTTGAGCTTTTTGATTTATCGAATCATTTTTTTTTCTGCTCAACTTGGAAAATTCTAGTAAATTAATATAATCAATTTCTCACTCAAAGCTTACCTCTGGACCGGATGTTTCGTCCTGCCAATTTACCATCAAAGGCATTTCGAATATCGTAACTAACCTATATAACCCACAGTATATACGCCGTGACTGTTGTAGGTAATTATTATTGAAATTACACATTATTGTTTCGCACTTATCATTTTTTATTTAATGCAAAACACCTCTAATAATATGGTTTACTTGAAATAATTATCGTAGTTGACCATTTGTTAAATTATTTGAAGTCCTTCGCTTTGAATTTGTACCAATCTGAAACATTTTAAAAACCTATAACTGCAAGCGGGGAGTTCTCAGCGGGAGGGTTATTCGAATCTTCAGTTTCCTTTTCGTGTTTAGAAAATACACAGAGAATAGGTTCGTTACTGTGGAAAAAAAATGGTACGAGTACACTCGTCGCTTTTGGCCCTTTTATTTTTCATTTATGTCACCGGAGGCCATTTTGAGCTGTTAGGTAATAATGTTTCATTGTGACCACATGGTGCGTCTATCAAACACTCGCAAATGAGTTGATGAACTGTCGTAGCGACGTTAAAGGTCGGCTATTTGAAAATGGACAATAAATAAAATTACACCTGCTAACGGCTGAAAAATAATTTAACTGCAGTGCGCTAAAGCCTAAAATCGATATAGGTACAACAACTGTGAGTATTATAATATTATGTATTATGTAGAACTGTAATGACTTATAGAATAAGTGTATATTATTATGTATACCTACAGAGTTTAAATGTTTATGTACCTACGATAGGTAAATTATAAATAATATTCAACGTCATTGTTGTAGATGATATAAATCATCATTAATACATTATTAATACATTTCCCACTTTTTAGGTGAACGATTAATGTTAGGGTGCAAACAATAACTGCACTTACAACCCACTGTAGGTACCATATTGGAACAAATAAAAAATGTTATCAACTTGGATTTGCTAAAACTAGATAGCAGTAGAAAGCTTACAGCCATAGCAGTAAGAACCATATAATATAAGTTACCTAATAGCAGAGTTGGTGTATTTTTTAATTTCTAAAAAAAAAACCAAAAAAAAACTGTATTTTTTGTTTTGAACTGTTTTTTTCGGTTCAAAACTATATTTTAAGCAAAACGAATTGTTCGTGTTTTAAACAGACAGTGTATTTAAAACGGTTTTAACGGCAATTTTGTGGAGTAGCAGTTAAAATAACATAATTATTATGATCGACGTTTAATAGGTAATAATAAATAATAATACAATCGTAATTTGACTACTTTGAGTACTTATCGTATCTGGGGTATCTCTAGTTAGCTTGTTAGTTTGTTTACTTAAACTTTTAATTTATAAGAGTTAAATCATTTTTTTAAATTACCATCTGGGTCACACACTCACACGTCATAATATACGCCTATTGCGATTATACCTATAAACTATAGGCCTATAGCGATTGTTCATCTTTCACATTTTTCAATTTTCAAAAATTAATTCAATAGGTAATTACTAATCATTTTATTTCATACTACCTAGGCACCTAGCTATAGTATCTTAAGAAATTTTATACTTTTTTCAACCAATTTATTAGATTAAATAATATATTCTATTTGTTTATTTTATTTAGAATCATTGTATATTTTATAGCGAGAATAAAATTAAAAGTAAGTAACCACTCTCCTGTACATTAGGTGTCAAGTGTACTTCGTCATTGAGGAATAAGACGAATATGTTATTGTAATGTATGAGGTATGTGATAAATTTGAATTCAATGATAAATCCTTGCATACGAATAACAATTCTGTGCATAGGGGGTCTGTAAGCCTATTTTACTAAATATATTATATTATGATATTTATATGGCTATTGAAGTGATTTGTTTTAATAATAGTAATACAGTAGGTTGAACTAATATTTGTTAAAACCATTGACTTTGAAAATGTCATTGTCTGTATAAAATAAAATATCAAACGTTTACAATATCAAGTGCCCATGAATAAAGATTTCTAAATTACAACTTAACCTTTATTCTATTTTAAAATGTAAATATCTAATTTAATCCAAATTTTAGTTTACACTGTAAAATACTAAAATGTATAAACATTTTTTTTTTTAGATTTCTTGTTGTAGTATAAGCTACTTATAGTATGAGGAACCTTGTAATAAATGTTCAATCTTTAGCTATAAAAATTGAAAATTTCATACATTTTTATCTTCATAATTATTTGCATATTTTTGTGATTTTGTCAACATTTGAACTTCAAATCTTTAATAGGAAATTACCTAACTTACCTATATTATGATATCAATAATATTATGTAATATATAATGTTTTTATTGTACCCTTGCAAACTTTAATTAGAATACGGACTGTTTATATAATAATATTATTGATATGCTTTACGTATATAAATCAATATTTATAATAATAATAATAAAAACATGCTAACACTACAACAGAATAATATGTATTTACAGTCTTAATTCGGAATATTATTAAGTTAATAAAAAAAACATGTTTTTTAATCAAATCCAATAAGGAAACAAACCCACACGATGATCAATCACCTTGTCAATGCTTGTTTATTTCAATGGCAATGGGGGAAAAAAAAACTATTTAATAATATCTCAGTGGGGTAGAAGAAACTAAAGGGGTAACGATACCATGTTTCAGTAATCCTATTAACGGTTCACACATAAACCGCGAATACAATAAGCACACTACTAACACGTGTTCACTGTTCGTCATATTATAAAGAAAAATAAGAACTATGTTACAAATTGAATTTAAAACCAATTAATGAACGGCATAAAATTTCCGCTTAACAATTATTATTTTTGTGTTGAATTATATAATTATATTGAATTGCGTTGGTCTAGTAATTATTTATTACGACTCCAGAGTTTCACAAACATAAGAAAATCGAACCAAAAGAAAAAAAAAAGAATAGAAACTGACAAGAAATAAAGGACGCAGAAAGGGAGAGAAATTTGTGATCCGACGTACAAACGAAATATTACAATATTGCCTGGGGTTGACATTTGCAGAAGGGTCTAACAAGAGAGGCTCAACGTTCAAATGGGATCCGGAAGGAAACAGGAAGGAAAGAATAAAGAACCTGCGCTCCCTTTTGCCAGCTTTCACTACCCAATAGTAAAAATGTATAAACAAGAAATTGAACGAAAAAACCAATCCGAAAAACTTATCGTTTTTTTATTTTTTAAATTTAATACAAAATAATGATAATAAAAAATATCAGTCTTAACATTTTATTTACCGAGCACAATAATTATTAAAAAGGAGGGTAGAAATTCAAATTACAAAATGTAACTTATTTTTCGCAATTCTAACTGTTCGTATATTCTGTTTCTTTTAGAATTTAGGTAACATACGATCCTTTTCTACGCTAGTATGGTATTGAAAACGTATCGAACCATAATCAACACACAGTTGTAAAACTTTTCTCAATAAGTCTTGAGTCTTAATCATATTATCGTAAGTAATAGATGTTAATAAAACACATAATAAGAATTACGAGTACCTATAAGACAAAATTATAATAGTACATATTATCATAGGTACAGTCGTACAGATTGATAAGTAGTATTTTTTTTAATCTGAATGCTACTTGTACATAGGTAGTCTTTTTTAAATTAACTATTATTATTCAATTATGAATATTTAGGATTTTAGGAGCTTTTTGAATGATGAGTAATCACCAATATATTTAATGATATATTCAGATTTTCTAAAATGAATATTTACTGAAAAAAAGTAGGGTGCTGGCAAATATTTTTTGTATTTTTAATTTTATCAAAATAATTTTGAGTTACCAATTAATTACGATTTCAGGTATTTCTAAAGACTTTAAAGTTTGAAAAGTCCCACCATAGTAAGTTTACAAACTCCAAAAGGTAGGTATCACAGTTTATAATAAACTTTTAATTAATTTTTTATAAGTCTTCACTGGTTTATAAATTAGGATTTTATTAAATAATACATGAAAACAGTTAGTATATACAACAAAGTTATTGATGTCATTTAAATTTAGTTATTGTACAATTATGAAAGATTAATTCATAAGAAGTGTCTTAAAAGTAAAAAAGCACCGAGTAAACTAATTAATGTGGAACCGATTCGTGTGCCCGCATTTTGAGTATCAATTGTTTCAGGTTCAATAAGTTTATCTGTTAATACGACAACAGATTGTGGTCGCAGTTTTAGTGGATTACTAGCTGAAGGTCCAGTTGATACAATATTTCTAAAAACAAAAATTACAATAAATTAAAAAAACAAGAAACAAAAACAATTTTTAAGTGAGATATTCTAATTACCCAGGATTGTATGCTGAATTTTCACTTCCTAAGTATACGTAAATTTCGTCTTTGAGGTTCTTCACGTCATTGGACAATACGACGGTTTCAGTTTCACTTCCGAAATTCATTACAACAATGTATGATTCGCGTTCCAATAATGATCTAAAAATGAAATGATTAAGAATAATTATTAACGAAAAGATACAATGGATAATATTTCATACAATTTTAAATTAATTTCAATTTGTATTACCTCTTTAAAATATATATCGATTTAGTAACATTATACGTTTGCAGATCACCATTTTTAAATGTATCGGTTTTCCGAAGTTGAGACATTTTTTTGTAAAAATTATAGTTGCTGGTTGGTAATTTTTTCTGTGTTTCGACGTTTACTTTGTAATAATTTGGATTTACTGGTAACCAAGGTTTTTTCGCTTCAGTAAATCCTTAAAAACATTTAATACAATACAAATTATATTTTATAATAAAAATTAATCTTGACTTTTTTCTTTAATTTAACGTCAACTTTTCAACAGTTATTTGTTTCTTTGAGTAGCTCATAAAGTAGGAACTGTAGTCATTTGAATACATTAATGGCCAAATCGATGCAGTTGGATTAAACACATAATGAATTTTTTTAAATGTTGCTAACTGTTATCATGATTGATCATAGTAAACCAATTATAAATATTTAAATATAGATGGAATTAATGACCGTACATTTGGTTTTAGTACCTATTTTCGTTCTCGGTTCTCTTGAAATCGGCAAGCAACAACGGTGTACCTCGTTTTGCGAACTAATTCTAAATAATCCGTATGTAATGTGTTTTGTATATTTATCACTTCATCTATTTTTAAATAAATATTAAATAATATACATCTACATTTTTCTGATATCTCGAGACTCTAAGAACAATCTAATTTTCTTCATAAATCTATCGAATAGTTTTTGAGTATACACTCAACAAACATGCATTAATTTGTTTATAATTATCGATCATAGATTATATTATAAAATTACTTTTTATTTCTGTAATTACTTAATGATAACTATATATTATTATATAAACAAAAAAATCGATATTTGTGACCCAAAACCGAATTTCTGTGTGAGCCACCCTATAGCAACCAATTTAAATTGAAAAATCAAACTATTAACACTCATCGAGTCTCAAAAAATAAATGTATTGCAAAATAATTATACCTGCGTTTATTGAACTATCCCATTGCATAGGACATCTTTCATTATCTCTAGTTTCATCCAATCTCCCAGCTCCCGAATTATTAGGATCTTGAGTTTGGTCTGGTCTCACATAAGTGTTGTCCATGCCAATTTCGCTACCGTAGTATGTGACTTCTATACCAGGCAAAGATAATTTCAAAGCTGTAAATAGTGGTACCATTTCAGCACCATATTTGGTTGGCATTCTGAAATTGTCATGGTTTTCCACCTTAAAAAAAAATGTATGAGATTAAATTATACGTCATAGTCGTTGAATAATATTTATAAACGTGTACACGTATTGAAGTATTATTGAATGGCAGTTGATTACAATACGACAATATTTATTTGTGTCGGGACAGTGGACCTATATCATATTTTATTTTGAACATCACATTGAATATTTTCTTAAAAGTATTATATTTTAAAACACTTACCACCCAATTAGCCACCTGGTTTTCAGGCATATTATCTAGCCAATTTTTAATATTTGTGTCTATGGATTTAATTATATCACGTTTATCAACGGATAATAATGCAAAGTTAAATGGTAAATGAGCACCGGGTTTCGTTGAATTGCCATAGTATTGCATTAATACTTTTATCGATGAGTAGGATTCGGTGGCTATTAGACTGTTGAAGTATAAAAATAAATTAATAAAATATTGTGAATCTCTCGATTAAGCAAAGAGAAGTTGCATTTTTTAATGTTACATTCTCCAAATATATTACGATAAGATGATTTACCTTGGAATTGGCCTGTTGTTACTTCTCGTATAATTATCGACGAATTCTCTCCATTCCCTAATAATTTCAATGGTTTCAGGTTGATCTACTGTATATGTATGATTTAAACTAACATAGTTTATTTTACATTCTTCTTCGGTCATTAAACAAGGTTCATCAAGGAGTGAATCACTTTCATACAAATGTCTAAGAGCGTCAAATCGGAATCCAACAACGCCTCTATCCAGCCAAAATTTAATTATATCCTTGAATAAAAGTGCACAATAAAATATGTATACTGATAAAGGAACAACTCGTTGTTTTTGTCTTAAATGTTTTCCCATTTCCAGTAAAAATTGGTTTTTTAATAAACTTTAAATTAAATTTCAGTAAATGTAACTATTAAACAGCTAATTTCAAGATTGTGCTCCCTCAATATATTTACATTTTTAATCGAGTTATAAATAGATAAAATACCAAATAATTACTTATACTTGGAAATCTTATATTATTAAATTGTATTTATCATATGTATATATATATATGAATAAAAAAGGCATGTGTGTGTAGTATTCACTTACTTATAATTTAATTACTTACCAAAATTTCTTTGTGAATTTCTGGGTTTCTAATATTAAAGTCTGGCTGTTTTTCATTAAATTGATGGTAATAAAATTGTTGTCGTTTTTCATTCCATGTCCAGCCAGAACCACCAAATACACTCAACTATGTAAAAACGATTTTCATTAAAGATTTAATAAAGTAAATTATTTTTAATTTAAAAATTCTCATAAATATTAATATAAACTATTTCACATGATGAGGTTGGTAAAACTATGTTATTACCATTTTGTAAATATCTATACTTTTCATTCTAATTAGCATTTGATAAAATGCTTTTAAAATTACAATATTATTTTATACTTAAATATAAGGAATTTCAAGGTTCATAAATGTTATTTACCCAATTATTTGGTGGTTTCGGTTTTATTGTAGAATTTTTTAAAATTTCATCTTGGTTTGATGCGTTACGCCAAAGGTAATAATCTGCGTATTTGCCTTGTCTTTCAACTGATTTCGTAAACCACTCGCATTTATAACTTGAATGGTTAGGTACAAAGTCTGTTACTAATTTAAGATCTAAAAGTATATATATTTACAGTTATTTATCACATGTAATATGCTGTTATTCTGACTAATAAATAACAATTACTTCGTTTCTTCATTTCTGAAACTAGTTCATCAAAATCAGCCATTGTTCCAAAGATAGGATCTATTTCATAATAGTCTTCTACATCATACCCCATATCATCCATAGGGGATTTGTAAAGTGGACCAATCCATAATGTTTCAATACCAAGATCAACGAAATGATCTAGTTTCTCCATAATACCTGAAGATTTTGTATAAAATAAATAAAAAATTGCTTATAATTTGTTTTCTCTGTACAGTAATAAATCGACATAATTATATATAAATACCTCTTAAATCACCAATACCATCATTGTTACTGTCTTTAAATGATCTTGGATATACTTGATATGTTATTGTGTTCGAAAACCACTCATTAGTTGGTTTTGTAGCACGGAAATATACATTTCCGTTTACGGTTGAGCATGTATATGCTATCACCATAAACAGGAATACATCAAATGTCCCCATATTGTTTTTAAATATAATAAATTACCTAAAATAATAAATATCGTGTTATTATTTGTTGACAAAAAAATATTGGATTTTAATAGATATAGAATAATTAAAGTGTAGCTGTAAAAGGTATATCATAGGTTAAAACTAGAAAATAATCATTAAACCAATTTACATATATTTTATTATTTTTGTAGTTCATTTATACTGCCATTAGAATTTATATTGAAAATAATGGTAATTCAAACAAAAAGTTAATACCTGTATCTATGTACATAATGTATTTCAAATATTTTACATATGAACAATTATTATATATTATATAGGTACATAAAATAACCTTTTAATATTTTTAATTATAATGGTTAATCATTTCTAGATAAGAATAATTAAATATTATTTTCTTTAAAATCAAATTATTTTAAGCAAAGAAAAATATTTAAAAAAATTAAGTAAATTCGTCTAAAATATGATTCTAGTGCATAAAGTTTATTTTTGTTAATAGACAATAGTGAAATAACTATTATAGCTAAATTTTAAGTATATTATATTTTTAACTTACAACAATTACAAGACCTTTCAATAGAATAATTAACTAAAATATACAATTATGTTTTAATATAAATATGAAATTAATAAACGTTTAGGTAAATATTTTTTAAAGCGAACTGTGAGGTGTGTGCAATGGTGCAATGTTCCAATAACTGTATTGACCTAAAAAATATTCCTAATTTATATAAACAGATTTTATTTGTTTGATCATAAAAATGGATAATATATTTAAGAACTTAATCACTTAATAATGATAAAAGCAAAAAACACAGGTGCTACATTATTATAAACGCAATCACGGGCATTACGTTTAATTCAGATGTATTAGGTAACTATCGTTCTATATTCATATTGATCACGTGATGGTTATAAAATTGAAGTATTTAAATTTTTAAATTCAAGCTCTGCTGGCTGGTAAAGTTAACTTCTCCCCTGTCTATGCTTCTCCGTAGTACGCAGATAAAAATGTACCAAATCAACTAAAATAATACAACTGATAGTCGGTACCAACAGTAGGTACCAATACGGTTTTCGTTAAAATCACCGTATATTATGAATTAGACAATAAGTAATTTCCAGCCAATTTAATCGCTTAAACTAAACATCTAAGTTATTGAATTTGGGGAGAAATCATTCCAAAAGTCATTCAAAATTCATATGCCATTTGCCATTACAACTGAACGTGTTCAGATAAGTGTTAACACTGTCCTCGTGCACGGAATTAACTACTTCAGCAATAAATCCATGGATAAACCTACCGAGGTACCTCTATAATTATATAATAAACAAAAGAAAAAATTTTCATCACCATCGCTTGATGCTTTTTTTTTTTTAGTTAATTTTCTTCAATTAATTTAAGATGAGAAATGTTATACGACAGTAATTTGTATTTTAGTAATAAAATCTAAGACTGAATTATAAGTGAACAAATTTTCCTACAAGAAATAAATGACTAATGGCCAAAATGTACCTACTTACTTATTTCATTTTATCAATGAGTATCTATACTTACCATCCATTTAGATCTGGCAGAATAACTGCTACAGTTTATAATTAATAACCCAATGCAGCTGATGCATTACAACTTATTTCTTTCCACCAAATATTTTTACTCCAACAAAAGCATTCTGGAACAGTGAAAACGATTTAATTAATAATTTTGAGGATGGTTTTTGGGCCTTTGATAGAAAATGGGTGGCTATCCTTTAATAAGATTGTGTTGCCAAATAACTGGTTAATAACATAATATTCTAAATGTTTGAAAAAATAAATATAAATTTATTATATTACACATGATTATAATACCAACCCGGAAAATAGGGGAAGCAAATATGGAAATATGTAAATAATAATATGTATAGTAAAATAATAATACAATAATAATTATAATTATAAGCGGCCTACAATGCAACTTGTAAAAAATGTAAATTAGCATACAATTATGAAAACAAATTTGATATTTTCATTTATATACAATATAAACTATTCTATTTTGTAATATAAAAAATGCATATAAGAAAAAATAGTAGGTATACAATTACTTAAATACTATTAAGCTTCTTCCTTAGAATTCTATCAAGATTAATTTTCTGCAGTAATAATAATTGTTTTTGGTTTTTAATTTTTTTCAGAAATATTATTATTCATAACAACAATTTATAATACTCATATTTTGGTGTTATCTACACTGTTCCATGATGACAATTTATTACAGTAGATAAAACAAGCCAAAATAATGTATGGCCCCTAGTAGGCCATCTCAGGACTGAAAGGTACCGAAGATTTATAAAATATTTCATGAAAAAATTTATAAAAATCCCGAAAGGTTGTCAAATATTTTTTGTTAAGAAATTCATAAAATTTTTTGTTTTCAAAGCGAACATTAGACATTTTAATAGAAGATCCCCACACGTTTTTATACCTATATAAAAAAAAAAAATAGTTCACTGGAAAGTTACGCTATTTATAGTCATGAGATATTTTCGATTTTTAATTATTAAATTTGATTATTTATACAAGGATTATTTAAAGGAGGACACACGTCTCTCCTATTTTTCGGATTGATATTATATAATCGTGTGCGTAATAATATGTGATTGAAACTGGTTTATTCTGGTTGAGGGCAACTGTTACATTTTTAAAATGCTAACTAGAGCCAATATTCTATGGAAAGCCCAGAAACCAATCTCAAAGTTATGGATTATTAAAGCATTTTTTTAATGCATATTTACTCAATTTTGTTTTTAAATTATGTTTGATATTTCTTACCGTATAAGAAATCAAAAAAATTATCAAAAATAAAATAAATTGTTGGACACTTGGTTTTTAGAGTCTTGTATATAATTGTACTCATCTCGTCAGTCATAACTTGATCGATATCAGTGATTTTAATGTTGTTTTTTTAAAGTTTGATTGCTGTAGGTATAAACATCAGAATCGTCAAAATTGTAATTCATATAGATTTTTCAGTTTATGGTTTTTAATGATTATTAGGTATTTCAAAATCTAGCTCAACAAAAACAATTTTAAAACTAGAGTAGAAACAACGATGTACCTAATTATGAAAACAGGGAATTTTAACACAAATATAATGTTTAATTCAATTATAATAAATCGAAGAAAAAAATATTGTTAAATTCAAATAAGGAAGCACAACATGTAAGTTATAATGTCACGGTCTTATAATAACTAAATAAAATTATCAATCATTAAAAAATAATGAATTAAAGAAAACATTTTTTACAGTGATACCAATACACTGGTGAAAATTATAAAAATTGGAATATTTTTGAGTGTCTTAGTCTAAATAATAAATATAATATTAATGACCAGAATTTATAATAATAAAATATTATGTATCTACTTACTAGTTTAATAATAATCTATTTAAAATATTAACATTATTAAAACTTAATTGATGTAAAATACTTTTTATAATACCAATTAGTTAGTTATATCTGTAACGTATTATTAACATAATTTAAGGCAATACAATATTTTATTCAAACATTTTTACCGTATTTATGGTACTACCTATATCAAAAATAGTAAATATTTGTTATTATATTAATAGTGCACAACGTTTTGCTTATCTTAACCCAAGGAAATAAATAATAAATCCTTATACAAATTTATTGAATCAAGATATATTATATACATTATTCTGAATAAATAAGCATTAATTAGGTATCTATTTTATTTGTCTATTAATTCAATAAAATCATGTTATTTTATCAATTTATTGTAAGTATGCGTAATAGAACACATTATACTCTTTTCTACCACCATACATTTGTATATTTATTTAATACAATCAAACACCTTCAAATTGTACGTCATGTATTACCGTTCCCCGTTTTCTTTTTGTTAAAAACTCCTCCAGCACTAAAAACTAAATAGGCTTTCAACTTATGGATAAGATAAAAGTGCACTATTATATTTAAAAAATGGAGAAAGTAGATATGTTGTGGATTTTTTTTGTCTTAGGTAGAAAAACTTACGTGGAATCTTTTATTAACTTTTTCATGAATTTCTGACTGCCAGATCCGAACATAATTATTTACAAAATTCAAAAAAAATTTCAATTTATAAATAGCTCCAAACAAGTCAAACTAGTTTGAAAATATTACTATACATATAGAATGGAGATATTGCTGAAATGCTGGAGAGATGACCGCCTGTCATCTAACATAACTAAAAATATTTCATGATATTTCTATTAAAGTAATTAATTTAAATTAAATTTCACAAGTTACGGTAGGTTGATTTAATTATTTCCAAATGTGTATTTTATCATTTTCCACGAATGATACAATTTCTAAAATATTTTGAGTTTTTTGACTATTTATAGACATTTAAAATAAAATTTTTTTTCTTTATTAAATGTCGATACAGGCTAATGACTTTAGTCGTCGAAGGCTTATTCTAATAATAATAATAAATAAATATAAGCTGATGGACAACTCTTGGTTCAAAATTATTGTTTTTCGTATACAATGATTTTTTATCGCTGAATTCAAATTTAACATATTTTTCACAGTGACTCCTATAGACACATATTGTACAGCAGACCTAACCTTTTTTTCATATAGGTATATTTATAATATTTACAAGAGACACAGACATATTTTACTATAATAGTATTAGCTAGGTATCTAGTTTAAATGAGAAATGATATGTCTAGTTTTCTAGTTCAAAAGCATTGTTAGTAGATATTTGCAGTGTTAGTTCAAATATATAATTAAATATTATTTAAGTTGTTCAAGATTATTAAATCCATTAATACTCAACAACTATAAGCCAAACAATTATAGCACGCTCGTGCTTCTTTAAACCTGATATAGATAATTAACACTATTGTAATTGAAATAACAATAATAGAAGTATAGTTAGTATATTATCTACATATTGGTTATACTATTCTTATAATATTATGTGATATTGCAATCAGATATTATTAAGCT